CGCTTTGAGCCTCTTCCACCTCTTTCCACAGTTTGTCCTCTCTATTTTTGGCTCGTTAGTAAGCGAGGTCTAATCTGTGCCATAGGCCCCTCCGACCACCACTGCCATTCACACACAAACAAGACATATAACATTCAAAACATAAAAAGAAAAAGACCAGAAAAAAAGAAAAATATAAGATTGAAAAAGTCCCATTATAAAAGATACAAAAAAAAAATACTGCAAATACTACAAAGGGTAAAAGCATCAAAAGCAATGAGTCACACTATTATGAAGATCAGAGAAGTTAAAACTGCTGAAAGAACAACTTTCACATCCTTTTTACACTATTACATAAGTTTATGCAGTCACTCATTAAAGAACACAACAACAAATAGTGACTGCATAGATTAATGTAGATTAATGATTCCTAACCAACTGGGTCCAACAGTACGTTCATGAATGTGAGAGGGCGGTCAAACGTCAGTATTCGTACTTAAGTATTCTGTGTTTTATGTTGCACTCTAGCACTTTTACCTGCTTAGATGAAATGATCGGAGAATTGTAAACAAGAGAATTCATAAGATCTGCCAGAAGCACTGCTGTAATATCCAAAGGCACAAGTTAAACTGTAAGAGGCCACCTCCACAAAGTTCAATGTTCAAAAAGTGTTTTTTGCAAATCCACCCACTATTCTCTGTACAACAGTGCGCACCTACTGTATGTGAGGCAAGTTTATAAATTATTGTTTCCGTCATGATCGTCAGTTACACTGGAGGAACACAGGTGTTCAACACAGACATACGATACTAAAATATCAATATCAAAGTCAATATTGATACCAATATTCTGACTGTATTAACAACACTCTATATCTTCTGTGTCCCTGGGTGTATGTGCGTGTGTGCGTGTGTGTGTGCATGCATGTGTGTATGTGCGTGTGTGTGTGCATGCATGTGTGTATGTGCGTGCGTGCGTGTGTGTGTGTGTGCATGCATGTGTGTATGTGCGTGTGTGTGTGCATGCATGTGTGTATGTGCGTGCGTGCGTGTGTGTGTGTGCATGCATGTGTGTATGTGCGTGCGTGCGTGTGTGTGTGTGTGCATGCATGTGTGTATGTGCGTGCGCGCGCGTGCGTGCGTGCTTGCATAAGTTTTGTGTAGCAAATAATTTTCTGTTTATTTTGTATCTTGCTTGATTTTGTATGAAATGCATATAATAAAAACTAGAGGAAGGCAGTCTGCCTGACTCTAGTGAGGCTAATGCATTCCGTGATACAATCCAACCTGAGTAGGCGCTCTGGCCTCATACACACACCTACACCTACACATACAAGAGGTAAGAAATGCATGCAAACCATGACACAGACATTTCCAGACTCTTGCTCAACTTTCAAAATATAAAGTAGCACACTATATTATATAATGCTATATTACATTAAATGAACAAACTTTTTTGTGGGATAATTAAATCATTGTGTGTTCAGTACGACCCCTTCACTGTCAGGTTCTAGCATCCTGATATTACTACAGTTGAATGCAAAGTCTGCTCTAGCATAACTCCATTCAATCAATCTAATTTGTATAAACTATTTAACTCTCCTATTGGAGAATTGTATCTGTGCTCATTTCCTTTTACTTGTCATTTTCCTCCATGATTTGAGTGTTTAGTGAGGACTGCTTGTTGAAAAGATCTACTCAATTTAATATTTCAATTGCAATATGGTTTGGAGGACAGCTGGCAAAGCTTAGGATTTGGTTTTCAGTATACAATACAGATAATCACTTCAGGGAGATATCCCAATAGAAGAGCAACTTTGTGGGATACAGTATACTTCATACACAGTTACACACTGAATGTTTTTACAGTCTTCAGTTATTTTTTGACTGTAAATAAACATGCAATACAATCTGCACAACCAGAAATTAAAAACACAAACTCAAAAATGATACCTTTAGTTCATGGATAGTTCACAGTCTCATGAATGACCCGAAGCTTTGGCTGAAAATCTTTTAAGATATCCAGATTAAATTTGGGTCTGAATGTTGTAGTTCAGCACATACAGAGTGACAGGCAAGCTTTGTGTGTGATGTGAACCACTATGTTAATTCCATAATTTCGTCCCTCTTATGAATAGAAATTATGGCTGTTCAGTTGCTGGGCTTGGAACTTGATTAAAGAAATCAGTTGAATTCCATTCAAGGCTGCGTTAATGATCCAGGCATAATCATATCATTAGTTCGCTTTTCAGTTAAAAAACACAATTGCAATACAACGTAATTACACACTGCAAGGAAGCACAGTAACACATAAAAAACAATAGATGGAGTACCTTTAAGCTATAAATGTCATGCTAGTTGTACTATCGTGTCTTAACTTATAGACTGTGTTAGCAGTAGGTTGAATAAACCAAATGTTAATATTTTCAGCTGAGAATCGATTGTGACTGAATTTTCAGCTCAGACGGTAGGGTAGTGACTGTTTGATGAAGTATAACCCAAACAACGGTCTACATTGAAAACGCACACACATACGCACCACAAGCAAACGCACCACACACTCACACAAACAGATACACATTACTTTAATTTTGAACCCCCCCATTTTCTATTATAGTAATTTCAAATTACTCAAATAACTGCTTCAAATTAAGTTATTTCTATGACAGGGGATCCCTGCCAAGTGTAACCAAGTCCCCCTGCTGCAACTGTGTTTCGTTAGTCTTGTTGATGTTCCTGTAGTCTTTGCTCTGCTGTTCAACTCCATGTTTTTAATCAGTGAGGAATTCCACACCTGCATCATACATCACTCTTCACCACCTGTCTCACATTCTTTGCCTGTTATTCAGACTGTTCATATGAGAGCTGTGCACATGTCATTCAAATGTAAATTGTCAATACGCAATTTCAGAATGTCCCATCTGAATATCACTTTATCTACTTATCGTGTTCTATGGGGTTAGGGTTGGGGTAATAATTTATATTATATACTTTGCATATAACTTTGCACTAGAGAGTATTCGAAAAATTCATGTTGAGGTATCTGCAGTCTAGCTAAGAACATAGCAGCTACTTATTGTGTTTATTTTGTGGCTCTTCCTACTGTTCCTGTAAGTGCGCCTTGCCACCAGTTAACATTTCCCACTGTGGGGACAAATAAAGAATCTCTTATCTTATTCCATGTCGCGAAACCAAAGTTTGGTACTCTCCTCTTGGTGAGTTTTTGTCAGTATCTCCTTTTGTATTTTTGCCTACCCGTTCTTTGTCTTGGTGTTACAAGTCTGGACACCCTGCCTGCCAGCCAGCCCCGTTTCCATTTCGCTTCCTTTTTGTTTAAGTAAGTAAAATGTCAACACACAAACCGTAAGAGAGCTGTTTTTGAGTTGCCAGCATGCACAGTATATTACGACCAATCAGTCACATCCCAGCCGCAGTACAGTCTGAGCGTGGCCGACCCACTGTACTGGGAGCCACTACGTCGCTGACCTCCCCCTTCATGAAAGAGCCGGCCTCTTCGTCGGTTGTGGTCCGTCCCGCACATACTGGGCACGTTGTCACCACGTGTTGTGTACGTTAATTTTTCACAGGCTGGAGAGAGAACATACACGTTAAACAACAATTCAATCCTGCCATAATAAACTATTATAACACACATCTATAATTAAATCAACTTCCACATTCCAATAAAATTAAAATATCAAAAAAGAAACACAACCTGAACTACAATCATACATCTGCTCACCCATATTCCCCTCCACACACCCAACCAAAAATATCAACACCCATACACAAAACATATTCTACACTTCCTCACAATAAAACAACAAACCTCATAAAAACATATAAACAAACCCACACCCCCAACCCCCCAATCAACCAACATCATAAATACCCCTAAAAAACATTCAAAAAATCACTTAACAATACCAACACACCAAATAACAACCCATACAAAATACCCTCCTACTCTATAACACATAAACACAACCAAACCAACAATAAACTATACTCACATAATACCACCCATCATCAAACCCATTCTTTAATCCCCACTATATCATAATCTTTCCATTACCTTTCCCTTACATAATATCATATAAAACCCCCACCCCAACAAAACCCACACCCCCATCCACAATCCCCCCCTATCCCCAAAAACCATATATTCAATTTCCCCCCTCATAACACCATCAAATAAAAAAAAATCTCCCCCTCCCCAAACCACCCAAACCTATCCTCATCAAATCTTTCACCCCCAACCCTTACCCAACAAAATTTTTAATTATACCCCCTCCTTCCCCACACCCTTCAAATCTATAATATACCCCTCCTCACACCCCCATAACTATTATCCCTCAACCATCATCCTCATACCATTCCATTTTATTTAAAAATATCATCCCCATAACACTACCTCCCTTCCCTTTACCCTTTTCTCTATCCCCAAATCCCTCATCAACCTCCCTCTTTCATCCCCTCTCACCCCCACTCCCCTTTCCCCTCCTCTTATATCATACCACCATTCCACCTCATATCCCTCTAACAAACACATCCCCAACCCCCTAACCACCCACCCCTTTCTAAACCCTCCCTCTTCCCTCTCATACACAACCATTCCCCCTAACACCTTCTCATTAAACCCCCCCATCCCCAATCATATAAAATATCTCTTCATCTCACTCATAACCCCCCCCTATCAACCACACTTCTCCCACCCCCCCTAACAAAACACCACCCCACACTTCCCCCCTTTTCTAAAACTTCACCCCATATTAACCCTACACATCCAAACCAAAATTCCTCCACCCCCCACACATAACCACCACAATACATCCCCCCCTACCCACATTCTCTAAAAAACTTAACCAATAAACAACTTCAACTCTTCTAACCCCCACCACCCTTTCTCCCATCCCCCCCCCCCTTTTAAACTTCCACCCCATCCTCCATTCACATTCCCTCCTCTTCAAAACTAACCCAACCATACCCACCCCCCACTCACTTCAACTCAAACCCATCAACTCATTTCCCCCCCTCTTCCTTCTCACAACACACCTCCTCAATCACACAAATAATCCAACCGCCCCACCCCCTGCCAAATACATCAATAAACTCTAACACACTAAACCATACTCCCTCCCAACAAATCTATCAACCCCCACATACACCACCCAACCAAATCAACCCACTATACCCACTTTATACCAACACCCCCCCCAACCTCACCCACCACAATCCCAACTATTAAACAACCAACAAACAACCACCACCACCACCACACACTCACACCCCCCCCAACCCAAACACAACACACAAAAACATACACCACCAAAAAACAAACCCCCACCCCCCCAACCCCCCCCCACCCCAACACCACATCACAACACCCCCCCCCCCACAAAAAACCCCCCAACACAACCAAACCCCCACACCCCCCCACCCCACACCCAACCCTAAACAAAAAAAACCTAACCCCCCCCACACACCCCCACCCCAACCCTCACACAACTTCACAAACAAAATCCCCCAATACCAAACCCAACCACCCTCAAAACTAAAAAAACAATCCCAACCTACCACCCTCACAACCTCACCAACCAACCCCAACCCTAAATCAACCCACCCCCCACAAAATACATCAAAAATAAAAACTAACACTACCATACCACACACCCATCCACCCCAAACACTACCCCCATATATAACCCAAATCATACCCCCCTCCAATCAAAAACCCAACCCCCTCTCCACTCCTACTATACCCCCCAATCACACCCCCACCCCCCCAAACCCACAATAACAACACCCACCATATTCTATCCAACACATATCCAAACTCTACCAATAATTCCTCCTACCACAACCACCTACATCCCCCCCTCACCCCCCCCTATCATATTCCCCCCCCAAACAATTCAACTCAAATATCCTACCACACCCCCCCACACTAACCAAACCCCCAAAACCCCACCCTAACAAAAACCCTACCATCCACAAACCACTTCAAATCAACCACAACACAACCCTCCTACCAACATACATCCAAACACAAATACACAATAAAACCCACCCAAAACATCTCCTACAAAACCCCCTATCCACTCCCCCTCCCCATTCATTTCCTCACCTCATCCCCCTAATACCCCCATCAACCATCATCCCACATCACCCTCAACCAATTTACCCCCCCATCCCAATAAAAACAAACAATTCCCACACTCCACCCCACAAACCAAATCAATATAACCCCCTCCCCCCCCCACCCATTCCATTCTCAAAATACACCTTTCACCTCCCATCAACATAAAACATTCACCAATCAAAATCAACACACCCTCCAACCCCTCCAATCTTCCCATACTTAAACCCACCTACCACCCCTTCATATCCATCCAAATTCCTCACAACATTTATAATATTAACCCACTCAAATATAAAATACCCCTCCCATCCACCCCTACCCAACCTACACCACCACCATAACCCCACATACCCACCAAAAACTCTCCCCTATTATACATCCTCTCTTCTTACCCCACACCCCACCTCCATACACAAAAATAACACCCACTACCAAAACCACCTAACCCAAAACATCTCACTAACATACAACCCACCACCTCACAAACACCAACCACCAACCATATCCCCCACACCTCCCTCTTCACACAAATAATCCTATTTCAACATAAATAAAACAACAAACCCCACTCATACTACATCACCACAACAAACACTACTTCTCACCCACCTCACACCACCCCCTTAACACACCATCCCCCCATAATTAAAATATACAAATCATAACCCAATGACCACTATCATACTTCTTTTAATTCCATTATATTTTCTATTCAATTATAATTATAAATAAATTACTTTTACTATTATTTAAATAATTCTTTTTTAAACAACACTAAACACCTCTTTCATATCCAAATATAAACCCAAACATAAAAACCCTCCCATATCCAAACTCTACCCCCATATTATTCCCCCCAATATCCCTACATATCCTTTCTACCCCATCTCTTCTTTCTTCACAACATCTTATTCTTACTTCCCCTCTTATCCACCCTATCCTTTATTTACATCCCTCACTCCATTCTCATCATCATAATATCATAATATTATAACACACCATATCCATCATCCCACCAACACTCATCCAAAAACCTATATATATTCCCAAACCATACCCCCCCCCCCCCCCTTCCTCTTCCCCATTCCCCTTTTCTATCATCCTTCCTTTATTAAAAAACTACCCTCAATACCCCCCTCCCCCTCCCCTTACTTCCCCACCACCCCCCCTTTCCAAATCCCCCCCCCCCACCCCTCTTCTCTACCCCCCCCCATTTAAATCTACCCATTCCACCTCACTCTCAACAAACAAATACCCCCCCCTATTTTCCCAAACCATAATTCTCCCTAACTCCCCTACTTCCTATCCCCCCCCATCACCCCCACCTAATCATCACATAAAAACTCAATCATTACTCACACCCCCATTCCAAAAACTCACACACACACTATCCCCTAACAATCTCCCCTAAACAAACACACCCAAAAAACCCACCCACCCCCAACTCACCCTACACTACTAACCTATCACAACCTTTTCCCCCAAATCCCATCCTACAATCAAACCAAATCCATCCATCCCTCAACCAATACCCTAATCCACCAATTCCCCTCCTATTCTTCCCTTTATCTCTATCAAAATCATCCTAATATCCATCACCATACACCCCCCCTTTCTTTCCCTTCTCTCCCCCTCACTTCCCACCCCCTACCCCCCTAATCTATTTTCAATTAACCCAATTCCTTTCACCCCAAACAATCCAAAACAATCCTCCTAAACAAATCTACAAAATCCCATCCACACACTCCCCATTTCTTTTACCCCCCCAACCTACCTATATACACATAAATATATATATATATATCTAAATCCCCAATATATTACATATATATCCCCTTAAAAACACATAACTCCATAAATTAACACCAAACCCCCTACCCCTACAACACATCTCATCACCAACCCCAAACCCCACCTACAAAATATTCCCACAACCCCCATAACACCCCCACCATCACCCCCCCTACACCCTACCCTCCCCTCATACCACCATTTCCCAAACACTCAACATTACAACATCACAATAAAAAAAATAAAAACATAAACCCCATCCTATATACCACCTAATACAATCCAAATATAAAAACCCCATCCCTCAATCCACCATCAATCAACATATTCACCCACCTCTAATCATTCCAACCATCAAACCAAACAACCCCCCTAACCTCCCCTCCTCCCTCACCCAAAAACACAATCACCTCTTTACTCTCCAACATTCCAACACCCTCTATTAAACCCCACCACCCCCCCTATCATTACCCATCATATACATAACACCCCAAACCCCTCCCCACATAAACCACATTCACACAACACCTCACAAACTCCCATAACTATTATCCAACCATCTCCATATTCCCACACCATCCCAACCTTACACCAAAAAATCTAAAATAAAAACCAAACATTTATAAAATATCCTCAATAAATCCCATAAAAAAACCCTACCCCCCACCAATCCTCCATACCCCCCAACTATATCCATAAACACCCTCTACCACCCCCCCCTAAAAACACAAAAACACAACAACCAATAACAAAACCAAAACCCAAATCCCCCCCCCCCACACCTCCAAATCACATAACCCCCCCCCCCCACAATCCCAATTCCCACAACAATCTACTCACCAAACCCCTCCTACCCCACCCACCCACCCACCATTCTTCCCCATCCCCCCCCCCAACCCCTTCCCATCTCTCACCCCAAACACTTCTCAAAACCACTAAACAACCCCAACTCAACAATCCATTCTAAAACTCTCCTCCCACACAACCAAAACCAACCCCCCATAATAATATAATCTCTCTCATAATCCCCAATCACACCAACCCCCACCCCCAAACCAAATACACCCCACAAAACAACACAATTCTCCAAACACCAAATACCAAACAAACAATACCAAAACCACCCATCAAATTAATAAACTAACAACATCCATATCCCCACAACCCAAACCAAACCCAATCCCACAAAAAATCCAATCACCATCCCCCCCTAACTTCAAAAAAACCTACACCCCACCACACCACCACCTTTTCTCAAACCCACTCTCACCCCAAAATTATACAACACAACCAACCCAAACCCCCATCCAAAAAAACCTAAAACCTACAAAAAAACAATACCACCCCCAATCCCCCCAACCCCCCCTCCCAACCCCCCCCCCACCCCCCAACACAACCTCAACATTCAAAACCCAAACCAACAACCCCCCCCCCCCTCCACAACATCTCCACAAACAACCACACCCCCTACAACCCAAATTTACATCCATAATACTCACATTTCCCACTTCTATCCCCTCACAAATACAAAATATCATCCACAACACCCAACCCAACCCAACAACAACATCACTATCCCCAAAATAACAAAACAAAAAAAACCCCAATCCCACCCCTCCACCCCCAAATCCACCCAACCCACCCAATACACATACCCCAATCACCACCCCAACATAACCCAAACACCCCCCCCTAAACCCCCCCTCATCCACCCCAACCAACCCCCCATCCCCAACCACCCAACCCACCACCCCCCCCCACTCCAATTCACACCACCTACACCCATACCCATCCTAAACTACAACCCACACCAAATACATACCCACACTCCATATAATCTACCTTATCACCCCCAATAACCACAAACATCTCTCCAACAAAACTCACCACCAAACCCACAACAACCAAAAATCCACAATCCCCAACCCCCCCCCCCCAAAACACACCCCCACCCCCACACCCCCCACCACCCCCCCCCCCCCCCCCCACACCCCAACCCCCCCACCCAACCACCCCCCCAAAAAACACTACCAACCCCACCCACCCCCCACCCATAACCCCCACCTCAACCACCCATTTCACACCCCCCAACCCCCAACCACCAACCCCCATAACCACACAAAACAACAAAAACTACCAAAAAACATAAACCAAAAAACACCACACTCACAACACCCCCCAACAACCCACACCAACCAACACCCCCAACACAACAAAAACCCCCACTCCACCCCACCTCCACATAACAAAAACAACCCCCCAACCCCCAACCACCTCAACCCACAAAAACCACACCAACAACAACACAATAACCCACAATTTAAACATTAATTATACCACTAAACACACACACCCCCAAATCCCCCACCAAATCCCATCTCACAAACCCCCCCCCCTCCCCCAACAAAATCTTACAATCCCCCCTACACCCCTCCCACATCACACAACAAAAACCCAAATAAAACCAAACCAAACCCATACCAAACCCCACCACCCCAACACCCCAACCAAAATCCCCACCCTCCCACAAACAAACAACCCCAAACTCCCCCCTAAATTTAAACAACCAATATCTAAAAATACTCCACACCAAAATACAAAAATCACTAAACAAAAAATAAAACCCCAAAACCAACCCATCCACCTACCCAAACCAAAAAACCCCAAAATTAAAAAACCCAACCCAACCCCCCCAACCTACTCTCTACCACAACTCTCACCCACCCTCCAACAAACCCCACCCCCTACCCAACTCCCCCTCCTAATAATTTATTCTCCCCCCAATACCCATTCTCCATACCTACCATCCCACCCAACTTCCCTCTCCCCTTCAATACCTTAAATACCTACTCCCACATTTCCCTAATTACCCCCCTATAATATATAACCAAACCTTATTCTCTCTCCCACACTAAACCCCCCCAACCCCCACATCAACACCCCCAACACCCCACCCCTCACCAACCACCCCTACCACCCAACAACACCATAACCACACACCCCCCTCCCCCCCCACCTTCCCACCTCCTCCAATCTCTTCCCCCATATTCCCCTCCCCCAACCCCCACAAAATCATCTACACCCCCTAACAAACAAATCAACACTACCTCACAATACAAACCCAACCACCCTATACAAACAAATAAACCAAACCCACACCCCACCCCCCCCCAATCACAAAAATAAATACCCCCCCTAAAAAACATTCAAACTCACTTAATCAATACCACCCACACACACTACACAACCCCATCCAAAATAACCCTTAAAACTATAACAATCCCACCCCCAACACATAAACACAAAACTACCAAACAACACCCCAAATCCCACCCATACAAAACCCACATAAAACAAACAACAACAACAACCTTATAAAAACCCCAAAACACCCCCCCCCCCCCCACCAACCCCCCCCCCAACCACAAACCCCACCAAACCCAAAACATCCCAAAAATCCCATATCATACCACCCAACAACCACAACAAAAACCACCCCACCCCCACACCCTACCCTCCAAACAAATCTAACACCCCAACCAAACAACAAATAAAAAACCCCCAACCCCCAAACCCCACAACCCAACAACACAAAAAAACCCCAACTCACACCCCCCCCCACCAAACAAACCCCACCCACCAAAACAACAACAACAAAACAACCCCCAAAACAAACACCAACAAACCAAAACATAAACACATACAAACCCCACAAACCACCACAAATCACCCACACACCCCCCACACCCCAACACCACAACAAACAACCCCCAACCCCCACCAACCCCACACCCCCAAACCCAAACCCCCCACCCCAAACACCCCCCACCAACAACCCCACAAAACCCCACCAACCCCACCCCCCAACACCTACACCCCCCCCACCCACACCCACAACACACACAACACACCCCACAACATCCCAAACCCCCCCCACCAACACACCCCACCACCACCCCCCCCCCAAACCCCAAAAACACCCACCAACCCCCAAAACCCCCACCCCACCCACATCAAACCACCAACCCCCCCCCCACACCCCCCACACCCCCCACAACCAAACACCAAACCACCCAAACACAACCCCACAAACACCCAAACCCCCCCCAAACACCCACCCCCCCCCAAACCCAACCCCCCCAACACCCACCAACACCCCACACAACACCCACACCCCCAAACCCCCACCCCCACCCCACCACAACAAACCCCCCCCACACACCCAAACCCCACCACACCCCCCCCCCACCACCACACCACAAAAACCCCCCACCCCAACCCAACACACCAAACCCACACCCCCACACCCCACCCACCAACCCAAACAACCCCCACCACCACCACCCCCACCCCACCAACACCCCCCACCAAAACCCCAAACACAACCCCCCCACCACCCCCCAACCAAACCCACCAAAAAAACACACAAAAAACCCCACCACCACCCCTACAACTAAACAACACACACACCCCCCACAAACCCCCCACACCCCACCAAAACAACACCCCAACCAAAAAACACAACCACAAACCCCAAAACCCCCCCCAACCCCCCCACACCAATACACCACATAACAACACCCCCCCCCCCCCCACAAAACCCACACCACACCAAACCACACCCCCCACCCCCCTCCACAAAAAACACCAACCCCCCCCCCAACCACCACCCCCCACCCCCCCCACCCCCCAAACCACCCCCACCACCCCCCAAAACCCACAACAACCTACCCCCCACCCCACCCCACCAACCACCCCCCCAAACACAAACAAACCCCCCAAACAACACAAACCACCAACACAACAACCCCAAAACAACCCCCCACCCCCCCCCCCACACCCCCCAAACCCCCCTACCCAATAACACAACCCACAACCACCCCACCAACAAACACAACCCCCCCCACTCCCCACCAACATATAACCCCACTAACCCCCACCCCCCCCAACCAAACACAAACACCACCCCACAAATCTAAACAACCACAATATCAAATCTACCCAATAATTAATCTCCCTAACCACCCCCACCTCCACATCCCACCCCCCCACCCCCCCCTAACCCTATTTCCCCCCAAACCAATCAACTCAAATATTACCACACCCACAAACACAAACAAACCCACAACCAAAACAACCACAACCATCCCAAACCCACTCAAATCCCAACAACAACCACAACCTCTCCCACCATACATCCCAAAACACAAAAACAACATAACCACCCCCACCAAAATCCTCCTAAAAACCTATCCCCCCCCCCCCCCCCCCACCCCCCCCCCCCCCCCCCCCCCCCCCCCCCCCCCCCCCCCCCCCCCCCCCATCCCATCCCATTATTTAACCTACATCCTAATACAACCCCCATCATCCCCCATCCAACCACATTACCCCATCCCAAAACAACAAAATTCCCCCCTCACCCCACAACCACAATACCATCATAAACCCCCCCTCCCCCCCCCACCCCTTCCCCATTCTCAAAATCACCCATTCCCCACCCCAAACAACAAACAAACCAAAAAAACCAACCCCCCCCCCACACCCAACCACCCCATCCAAAAAACCCCCCCCAACCCCAACCAAACCCACAAAACCACACACAAAAAAAAAAATAACCCCCACAAAAAAAAAACCCCACCCACCCCCCCCCACAACACCCAACAACCACCCACCCCACAAACCACCCCAAACACCACAAAAAACACATCACAACCCACTACCACACCCCCACATCCAACACACAAACCCAACCCCAACCAACCCCCCCAACCAAAACCACTACCTCACACACAAAAAACCCCCCCCCACACACCCACACCCCCCCCATCACCCCCCACACCAACCCCCAACAACCACAAACACCCCACCAACCCCCCCCCCCACCCCTCCCCCCCAACCACCCCCCCCCCCCCACAAACACACCCCACCCCACACCTAACACCACACCCCCCAACAAAAACAACAAAACACCAAAACCCCAAAAAACACTAATCAACAAAAAACACAAACCCCCAAAAACCCAAACCCCCACCACACCAACCAACCCACAAAACAACACCACAAATCAAAAAAACCACAAACCACCACCAAACCTATCCAATAATAAACCCACAACCCACCAACTCAAACCCAACCACCCCCCCTAAAAAACCCAAACCCCTAAAATATACTAACCCCACAAACACAATAACAAACCTAAATACAAACCCCCCCAACATCATCACACCAAAACCAAAAAAACCATCCCTTCCACCAAAACTCATTCATCATATCATCAATTCTACACACAATACCAATATCCAACCACTCAAACAACTAAATACTATAATATCCAACCCAACCCCCCCCCCCCCCCCCCTTCCTTCCCATTCCCAAACACAAATCACTTCAATAATACCTCCCAATACCCCCATCCCCCTCCTACCTACCCCCCCACCCCACACAAAACCCCCCCCCACCCTCACACTACCCCCCCCCCAATTAAATCTCCATTCCACCTCACCTCTCCACAACAAAAACCCCAATTTTCCCCTAACCAACATCTATCCAACCTTCTACTTCTATCTCCCCCCCCCCCCACCCCCCACAACACAAACATAAACACAACACCCCATAACAAACACCCCCAACCAAACTCCCACAAACAATCCCTAACAAATCCCCTATACACACAACACACCCAACAAACCCCCCCACCCCCCACACCCCCCCTCACCTACACACCTATCAAAAACCTTATTCCCCAACATCCCAATCCTACAATCACAAACCAAATCCTCCATCCCCTCAACAAAACCCTAATCCACCAATTTCCCCTCCTATTCTTCCCTTATCTTTTATATCTCTATCAACATCATACTTATATTCCATACATCCACCCCCCTTTTCTTTCCCCTTCTTCCCCCCCCCCTCACCTTCCCCACACCACCCCCCTCAATCTATTTTCAATAACCCCATACCTTTAAAAACCCAATCCAAAACAATCACCAAAACAAAATCTACAAAATCCCCATTCCCCACACACTCCCCATTTTTTTTAACCCCCCAACCATACCTATTCCACTAAATAACAAAATAAAAAACCAACAAACAAACAAAAAAATTAAAAAACATACCCAATAAATTTAACACCAAACCCCCCCCCCTACCACAACATCAATTCCAAATACACACCACAAAAAATCCCACAACCCAAATAACACCCCACATACCCCCCCCAACACCCAACCTCCCCCCACAAACACCTCCCCCCATACCAAACACTAAACATTCAAAAACAATAAAAAACATAAAAAAAACCATTCCCTATATACCAACCAAAAACACACAAATATAAACACCCTCCCCTATACCACCAACAAAACACATCACACCCTCCCTTCAATCATTCCAACCCCATCAAACAACAACCATAACCTCCCCTACCCATCCCTCACCAAACCAAAACCCACCACTTTATCTTCAACATTCAACACTCTATTAACCCACCACCCCCCCCAAAAAAACCCCCAACCACAAAACACACCCCAACCCCCCACCCCCATAACCACAACACAACCAACACCACAAAACACCAAATAAAAACAACAACTCCTAATCACATCCAACCTTACACAAAAATCTAATTAAAAACAAACTTAATCTCTCACAAAAACCATAATCAAACCCTACCCCCCCCCCACATCCACAACCCCCCAAACCCAATATACCCATATTATATAATCCTAAACCCATACACCCCCCCCTAATCACCAACACAATTTCACACACCAATCCTATAAACACATACAAATACACCCATACCCCCCCCCCACCCTAAATCCCCAAAACCCCCCCCACACACCAATCCCAACAACCCACACAACACAAAAACCCCCCACCCCCCAAACACCCCCCACCCCCCACCAATACCCCATACCCCACCCCAACCCAACTACCACACCCAAACCCCCACTAACAAACCCACTAAACACCCCCCCCCCCCACTCAATCAATTCCATTCTAACATAACTCACCACAAACAAAAACCCTAATAATATAATTCTCTCATAATAACTCACCACCCAACCCACCCAACCAACTAACCCACAAACCCAACCCACAATTACCAAAACACATATACAACCCCAAAACAAACCCCAAAACACATCAAATCTATAAAATCTTTCCATCAATAATCCCTCACCCACCCCCCCCCCACCACAAACCAATCCCCCAATTAATTCTTCCCTATTTCCCCTCAACTTTCAAAATTAAAAACCTAAAAAAACCACCCACCAACACTACCAACTTTTCTCACACCCCCACTCCTCTCCCAATATTCACCCTACAACACCCCCTACCATCCATAAAAACCCCAACCCCCTAACAAAAAATCCCTACCCACCCCCCCAACCCCCCAATCCCCCATCCCATCCCCCCCCCCACCCCCCCCCATACACACCTAACCAATCACTAACCTAACCAACATCCCCCCCCCTACCACCAAAATCATCCAAACAACCTCACCCTCAACCCCAAATTTACCCATCCATAATACTACCTCCCCACCTTATCCCCTCTAAATCTATATCATATCCCCAATCTACCAACACCAAAACTCCAAAACATCACTCCCAACATTCCATAACCCCTAATAATTAACAATACAATCACTCCCACCTAATCCAACCCAACCCTATCTAACATCACCAACCACCACCAACTAAACTCCAAAACCCAAATACCCCCCCCATCCACCCCCCCACCAACCCCCCATCCCTTTCCTCCCACCCCCAAAAAAAAAAAAAAAAACCCCCCCCCCACTCCCCATTCTCACCACCACCACACACATACATTCCCTATCATCCTACTCCACACCTACTAATACAAACTCATATAACTCTACTTATCACCCCCCCCATAACCACAACCACCTCCTCTCCACTCCATTCTCATCCTCAACCCCTAACTCTTTTCTATTATCCATAAATCCAACACCCCCCCCCCCATACCACCCCCCACTCCCCTCCCCCCCCACACCACCCTCCCCCCCCCTCCCCCCCCCCCCCCCCCCCCCCCCCCTCACCCCCCAACCCAAACAAATACCCCCCCCCCATAACACACACTAACAAACCCCACCACCCACCCCATAACCCACCTCCAACCTCCCTTTTCACCCATCCCCTACACCCCCTACCCCCCCTCATCCCCATATAAACAATAAAATAAATACAAAAATAAACATAACCCAACATAAAAACCACCCCCCCCCTATCTCAACCCATCCCACAACCACCACCAACCCATACACCCAACCAAATCCCCACTACAACAACTCATACCCCCATACTCATAACATACAACCCCCAAACCCACTACCCAACCATCCAACCTCATACCCCCATCCACACCAAACACACCAACATATAAACACATTTTAACTTAATTTTACCACCTAACACACACACACCAAATCCCCACCCAAATCCCCCCCACTCTCACAAATCCCCAACAAAAACTTAACACACCACACCTACCACCCCACTCCCTCACCACAAACACCAAAACAATAAACACCTAAACAATCAAACCCCAACCCACCCCCCAAAAACCCCCCACCTCCCACAAACACCAACAAAATACACCCCCCCCCCAAACAATCCCCACAACAATATCTAAAAATACCATACCAACAAAAACCAAAACAACTAACAAATAAAAAAAAAATAAAAACCCACACAACCCCCCATAACACCTAAACACCCCACAACCCCCACAATACACAAACCACCCCAACCCCCCCCAACCACAACCTAAACAACCACTAACCCACCAACAACCCAACCCACCCACCCCCCCACACACACCACACACACCACAACACCCCAACCCCAAACACACACCAAACCCCCCCCCCCAACCACATAACCCACCCACTAAAAAAAACCAACCACCCAAATACAACATACCCCCCCCAAACAAAAACCAAACCAAACCAAAAACACACACCCCCAAACCCCCCCAACCCCAATAACACCCCCACCCCCCCACCCACCCACCCACCACCCCCCCAACCAACCCACACCCCCACCCCCCCCCCCCCAAACCCAACCACCCACACAAACCCCTCAAAAATACCCCACCCCCACACCCCCACAAAAAACATCAACACCATAACCACAACAAAAAACTACACAACCACACCAACCACCCACCAACCAAAAAAACAAAAACCCAAACCCCCCCCCCACCCCCCAAACAAAAAAAAAAAAAACCCCCCAAACACTACAAACAATCACCTACCAAACCACACACACCCAACCCCACCCCAAACAAAAAACCCAACTCAAAAACACATCCCCACACACCAACCAACACAAACACAAAACAACAAACAACCCCACCCCAAAAACCCCCCCAACAACACCACAAACAAACACAAACAACAACAAACCAACCACAAACACCCCCCCCCCCCCCCAACCCAACCCCCCCCCCCCCCCCATCCACACAACCCAACAAACCCCAAAAAAACCAAACCCCCACACACCCCCTACAACCAACCAAAACCTCCCCCCACAACACCCCCCCCAACCACAAAAAAAACCCCCCCACAACCCAAAACAAAAAAAACACCCCACAACCCACAACACAACACAAAAACCAAAACCAACCACACCCCCACCAAAAAAACCAAACAAAAAAAACCCACCCACCACCCCAACCAACCCACAACAAACAAAAATAACCCAACCCCGCACCCACCCACAAACACCCAACACCCCCCAACCCCAAACACCGCACACACAACCACCACCAACCAACCCACACCCAAACCACAAACCCCCACCCCCACCCCACCAACAACCCCACCCACACCACACAAACCCAACATCCCCTCACCACCAACACCAACACCCACCCTCACCAACACCAAACACAAAACAACCAACCCACAACCCCCCCCCCCCAATCCAACCACCCACTCACTCCAACCCAACAAACACCACCCCACCAACCCCTAAAACACAAAACAACCCCAAAAAAAAAACACACCAACCCACACAAAATCCACCACCCCCCCCAAAACACCACCCACAAACCACCCCTAACACAACTCCAACAACACAAACCAAACACAAAAACACCACATACCCACACCCCAAACACCCCCACCCCCCCCCCCCCCCCCCAAAAAACTTCCACCCCCACTACCAACCTCACACCACTTCACCCTCCCCCACCAAACCCCATACCCCACCCCCACACACAACACAAACCCCACCCCTCCAAAACCCACCCACACACCACCCATACCCAATAACCACAAATACCCCCCACCCCCACCAACCAACAAACAAAACACTCTCCCCCCCCAACCCCAACCCACCCACCAACAAAAACAACAACACACATACACCCAACCCAATACACATAAACAACCCCCCAAATAAACCCACAATACACCCCCCCCACAACCCCCCCCAACACAACCAACCTCACAAAAACCCCACCCCCCCCCCCCCACAACAAAACAAAACTCACCACCCCCCCCCCCAACCCTAACCACACTCATAAAATCAAACCCCAAAATCATCCCAACCCACAAACCCCCCCATAACCACCCCCCCCCCCCAAACAAAAACCACTTATCAACTCACCCCCCCCACCATAATCAAACCTACACAACAAAAACCTCACCACCTCACCAAAATCAATTATAATACTATCCCCCACACACTTCCCTCAACTCACACAACATCCAAAACCATAATCCCCCCCCATCCACACCAAACCACACCATCACAACTACAAACACCAACCCCACACCCCCCCCACCCCCACCCCCCCCACCCCCCCCCCCACACACCCCCCCCCACCACCCACCACCCCACACCCAACCCCAACACCCAACCACCCCACCCACCCCCCCCCCCCACCACACACCCCCCACACACCCCACCACCCCCCCCACCCCCCCCACACCCCCACCACCAAACCCCCACCCCCCACCCCCACCCCAACCCCCACCCCACAACACACCCCCAAACCCAACACCCCAACAAACCAACCCCACACCAAACACCCCCCCCCCCCAACCCCACAAACCCCCCCCACCCCACCCACAACCACACCCCAACACCCAAAAACCACCCCCCAACCCCCCCCCCACCCACCCCCCCCCCACCCACCCCCACCCCCCACCCACACCCCCCACCACCACCCCAAAACCCCCACCACCACCACCACACCCCCCCACACCCACAACAACCCCAACCAACCACAACCCAACACCCCAACCACAAACCAACCCACCCACCCCCAAACCCCCCCCCACCCAAAACCACACCCAAAACCCCCACCACCCCCAACACACAAAACACAACCCACCCCCCCCCCAAACCAAACCCACAAAAAACCCACAAACCAATACAAAAATCACAATCAAAAAAACCCCCCACCACCCCACAAACATCCCTAATAACCCCTCCACCAACAAAACCCCTACCCCCAACTCACAACAACAAACACCATCAACCCCCCACCCAAAAACCCAACCCACCCCACCCACCAACCCTACCACCACCCCACCCACCCCCCCACCCCCCCAAAACACACCACAACACCAACACAACACAACCACACCCCCCCACCATACAACACACAAAACTCACCCCCCACACAAACCCCCCCTACAACACCATCCACACACCAAACAACCCCCACCACACACCCCACCCCCCAAATACCCCACCACTATCACCCCAAAAAAACCAAATACACAAACCTCAACCCCCACCCCAAACCAACCTCCCCCCCCCACAAAACCCCCCCCCCCCCCCCTCCCCACACCTTAACACCACCCATCCCCCAACATATACTACAAAATCCAAAACCATTACATAACCTAAACCAACAACCCCAACCATACAAATACCAAAATCAACCAAAAACCAACACCCATTCCAAACAATCAATCAACACAACATATCAAAACACCATAAACCCTATTCATAATCCAATAAAAAACCACCACAACACCCCCCCAACTATAACCCACCCCTACCCCCCCCTAAATCCCAATCCTACATAACTTCATCCCTCAAATCACTTTTACCACCAAATCCTTCTACTAACTCCCCCACTAATACCCTTAACCATATCTAAACCACCCCCCACCACATACCAATATATAAACATCATAAAAAACCACACATACAAAACAACACTAACCATAACAACTAAATATATACTTCAAACCAACCCCCCCCCCCCCCCCTCCTCCTTCCCATTCCCTTTTCTATTCATTTTCCTTTATTACCCCCTCCAATACCCCCTCCCCTCCTTACTTCCCCACCCCCCTTCTCAACATCCCCCCCCCCACCCTCTTCACTACCCCCCCCAATTTAAATCTCCCATTCCACTCACCTCTCAAACAAATACCCTATTTCCCATAACATCATCTCTCCCCAACCTTCTAATTCCCTCTCCCCCCCCCCACCCCCACTTACTCATCCAACTAAAAACTACTATACCCCCCACACCCACCCCATCCAAAAACCTCCCACAACCACTATCCCCCTAACAAATCCCCTAAACACCACAAACACCAACAAACCCCCCCCCCCACCCCCCCCACATCCCCCTCACCTACTCACCCTATCACAACTTTCCCCAAATCCCCAATCCCTACCCCCCCCCCCCCCCACATCCAACAAACCCAAATCCATCATCCCCTACACAATACCCCTACATCACCACAATTCCCCCCCTCCTATTCTTCCTTTCTCTCATATCAACATCATCCTTATAATCATCCCACCCATACAACCCCCCTTCTTTCTCTCTCCCTCCCCTTCCCACCCCTACCCCCCTAATCCTATTTTCCATTAACCCCAATTCTTTCACCAAAAAATATCAAAACAACAAATCCTCTAAACAATCTACAAAATCCCCATTCACACACTTCCCCATTTTTTAACCCAACCATACCTATATACACCATAAATAATATATATATATATCCTAAATCAATATATTACATATATATCCCCCTTAAAACACATACTCAATAATTTAACACCAAACCCCCTACCCCTCAACCACATCTCATTCCACAACCTAACCACTCAACACATCATCACCAACAACCCCAAATACACCACCATCACCCCACCACCACACTAACATTCCACTAAATACCAAATATTCCCAAACACGTCTAATTACACACCAATCAACATTAAAAATTAAAAACATAAATACATACAACAATCCTATATACCAACCATATTAAATATAAATATTAAATCCCATACCCTAATCCCCACAATCATTAAACATCATTAACCCACCTCATCAATCACATTACAACACCATAAAAAAAAGACAATTACACATCCACCCTCCACAACTAAACCTCCCAAACTATCTAATCAATCATATTTACTATAATTAATTAATAACTCATATATTTATCCCACACCACCCCCTTTCATAACACCATATTATACATTATACTACAACATACATCCCCCAATTAACACTTTAACACAAACACCTAAAATCCATCCCCCTCAACTATTAGATTCCATCTACATATTAAATCCAATCACATCTTAATCCATTATATATAGTATTTAAATACCATAACATTTTTTGCCTATTTTATCATTATTGAAAACCATACCCAAATACCATACTTCATTAAAACATTCCATTTTTTAACTTTTTATTACTTATACTTAAATCCCCCCCCAAATTTTCATCTACAATTTAAAACTCCCTTATTTATATACATAATAGTATCTCCCCCCAAACCTAAATCCCCTATATACACCCCCCCCACTATCCCCCAATCCCCACAACCCAATCTAATCACAAAACCACCATCCTACCACAACCCCCCACCACCATTTTACCCATACACTACCCATTCAAAATATCCCTCACCCAAACTCCAATTATCTAAAACACTTAACAACCACAAATCAATCATATTTATAAAATAATCTCCTACCACAACCACAAAATCCAACCCACTAATAATAATAATCTCTCTCATACCATCACCACTCCACCACCAAAACAACCAAACCAAATACACCCACAAACCCAAACCACAATTCTCCAATACAAATATCACAACATTAACAATACAAAACACCCTTCAATCTATAAACTATATTCCAATCATTAATAAAATATACAAACACAAAAACAAAAACCAAATCCCCACATTAAATTCTTCTCCTCATTCCCTCAACTTCAAATTAAAACATAAAACCAACCACTCACACCCATCCTTTCTCACACCCACTCATCTCCAAAATATTTAAACATACACAAACAACACCATAACCCCCATACTTAAAAACCCTTACAACCCCTAACAAAAAATCCCATACCACCCCCATCCCCCCCCCAACATCCCCCCCCCCTCCCAAACCCCCCCCACCACCCCCCCACCCATCAACCAACATAACACATTCAATAACCCCATACACCAATCAATATCCCTAATCATTCATAAAACACAACAACTAACACCATACAAAACACAAATTTAATCTTAATACTCAATTTCCCCCACCTTATCCCCATCTCAATATATATTATAATATCCACAATCTACCACCACAAAACTTCCCCCCCAAAACTTAACTAAAAAATCATTCTTAACATTTTCATTAATCAATCACAATACACCCTCCCACCTAATCACATACCAAACAATCATCTTTATTATACCATCCATCTCAACATTCTATACTAATACCTACCAACACAAAATCAATACCATTAATTCCACCTAATCCCTTCCTACACAACCACCCAAAACAATAATTCTCACCCCCCCACTCACTCAATACATCATTCTTCAATCTAATACTTACCAAAATCCATATAACTCCTAATTTAACACAACATATCCAAAAACATCCTATCCACTAATATCCATACTAAACCATCACATATTAACAGTCGTTACTTAAATAAATAAACCCCCACACCATTTCTACAATCCAACTCCCCCCAACTAACACAATCCCCTCACCACCCCACCCCACCCCTAACCCCCATATACTAACCAATATAAACCCCCCAAAATATCTTTTCATATTCAAAAACCACCAATAAAACATTCAAAAATAAATCACCTCAATCTGTGCATCCCCCTCCAATTTTAAACATTCCCAGTCTTCCCATATAACTAATACATAACCATATACAAATAATCCATAACCACATAAAAACCACCCTATCTTCCCAACCCCATCCACCACACCACAACCCCCATACCAACCCCCACATCAAATCCTAAACAACCTCATCACCATCTCTGATCATTACAACCCATACCAACTACCCCACCATCCCAAACCTCCATACCCCCATCACACCCAAACACACAACACTATAACACATTTTAACTTTAATTTTACACAACTAAATCACACACACCCAAATCCCCCCCACCCAAATCCACTCTCACAAACTCCCCCCAAACCATAATCTTACACTCCTCACTACCCACCACCCTCAAAACAATATACAAAAAATATATCTCAACCCCACCATACCATACATATCTCCATCCCAAACCCAAACCCCCATATTTCCCCACCCTACACACAACACAACAACCATACCTCCCACCCCCTAAATTTACCACACACAATATCTAAAAATACCTCCAACAAAATACAAAATCACCTAACAATAAATTTAACCCCTAATCCCCCATCATCTCCCCCTACCCCTAAACCCAAAACTAACCCAAAATAATACCCAAACCCTACCCACACCCCAACTAAATCTCTCCTAACAACTCTATCCTCATCACATTCAAAACCTCCCACCACATACCCACCTCATCATCACCCTAATTTATCTATTCCTCCCCCCCCATACCCATTATCACCATACTCATACCCCAACTTAACTATCTTCACACTCACTTATATACCTACCTCCAAACATTTCATTTTACCCACTATTTTATACCTAAAAAAACCAATTATTCTATATAACCAATATAACAACCACAATACCACCACCCATCAACACCCCACATAACCCCCCACCTTAAAAACCACCCATACCCAAACAACCTACAAGTACCCCACACAACCTAACCACACCTCAAAAAATCCAATACATCCCCTCTTACCCCATATTCCCCTCCCCACAACCCCACCAAAATCATCAACACCCATACACAAAACAAATTCTACACCTATCCTACAATAACAAAAACCAACCTATAAACAAATTAAACCAAACCCACACCCCCACCCCCCCAATCAAACATATAATACCCCATAAAAAAAATTCAAACATCACCCTTAACAACCACCCCAACACACTTACAAACCATACACATACACTTACTCTATAACAATCCCACACACCACCCCCACTACACTATACTCAATCCCCACACTACCACCCCCCACAACACCCCATTCATTATCCCACTATAATCTAATCTTTTCCACACCCTATCTTACCAAAAACCTAAAACCCCCCCCCCCCCAACAAAACCCCCCCCCCCCCATCCCCAAACCCCCCCCCCCACCAACCCCCCCCCCCAAAAAAACAAACCCACAAACCCACCCATCCAAATACAACAAAAAAATCCTCCCCTCCCCCCAACACACCCACCCCCCTACCTATAAATCTTTCACACCCCCCCAACCCCTTACCAAAACAAATTATACAATATACCCCTTCTTCCCCCACAACCCTCAAATCTATAATCATACTCCCACCACACCCCATAACAAAAATATCCCCTCACCCAATTCAACAAACCATCCATATCCATCCCCATAACACCTACCCCACCATCCTAACTTAATCATCTATCCAAACCCACCAAAAACCCACAACAACCACACACCCCCCACATACCCAAACACCCACAACAACAACCCCAACCCCACAACCACACCCCAACCCACCACCCAACCAAAACCACCCACCAATCACCACCACACCATCAACCACTCCAAAACAACCAAACCCCCACACCACCACACCAAAAACAACCAGAACAAATATCACAACCACACAAAACAACCACACAAAACCCCAAACACCCCCACACACACACCCCCCCCTCCCACAACCCCCCCCACCAACCCCAAAAATCAAAACACACCCCCCCATAAAACCACCCAAACCCACCCCCAACCACCAACCCCCCCACAAACCCACCCCACCAAACCACCCCCCCCAACACAAACCTAAACACATACCAACTCCACACCAAAAACACACAAACCCCCACCACCAAATACCCCACCCCCCCCCCCCAAAAACTACCCCCCAACCACCAACCAACACACCTCAACACCACTAACCCACCAAACCCCACCCCCCACACACACACAAACCCAAACACAAAAACCCCACCCACACCCCCCCCCCACCACAACCCACACCCCTAATACCCAACCACCCCCCCCCCCCAACCCAACACAACACACCCCCACACCCCCCCACCACAAACCACCACCACACACACACACCCCCCCCAAAACACCAACCCAAACACTCACCCACACTCCCCAAAACCAACCACCCACCACCCCCCCCAACCCACCAACCATCACAAACCCCCCACAAAACACCCAAAAAACACAAAATCACACACCCCCCCCCCAAACACAAACAAAAAACCCAAACAACAATCAAACACACACCCCCCCACACCCCCCCACCCACAAACCCACCAAAACCACACACACCCCCCCAAACAAACCCAACCAAACAAAACAACCACCCCCATCACCAACCAAATCAAAACAAACCAATCCCCCAAACTTCCACAACTCACACCAAAACCAACCACCACCCACCCCCACCCCCCCCACAAAAAAACACCCCACCCCACCACCCACCCCACCCACCCCACCCCCAACCCCAACACAACACCCCACCAACAACAAACCAACCATACACCAAACACTCCCCACCCCCCACCACACCCACACCCCACCCAAACAAAACACCAACCCCCACAAACAAACCCCACCAATACAAAAACAACAACCCCCCCTCACCAACCCACCACACAATACCCCCCCCAAACCACCCCAAAACAAACTCCCACCCACCACATATACTACCACCACAAACAACATCAACAAACAACACCCAACCACACACTACACACCCCCCCCACCCCCCCCCAAACAAAACCCCCACAAACACCTACCCACAAACCCACCACACCCCACAACAACCCACAACACCCACCCCCCAAACAAAACCCCCCAACCAACCCCACCCCCCCCATACAAACCCCCAACACCACACCACCCCACCACACATACAACCCAAAACACAAAAAACACCAATAACCAACCAAACAACTCCCTAAAAACCCAAACCCCACTCCCAACCCATTCCACCCCCCCCCCCCAACCCCCCCCCCCCCAACAACACCACACCCCACAACAACCCCCACACCAACACCAAACCACAAAACCCCCCCAAACCAAACCCCAAACATCCCTACACAAACCCACAAAAACCTATAAACCCCACCCCCCCCCCACCCCCACCCTTACCCAATACACAAAATCACCTTATCCACCAAACATAAAAACAAAACCAAAAAAAAAAACCAACCCCCCTCCACCCCATCCCCCACAACCCCCCAACAAAAAACCAAAACCCCCCCAACCCCCAAACATAATCCCATCCAAATCACAACAAAATAAAAATAACCCAATCAATATAAAATAACCCCTCTCCCCCTCCAACCCCCCATACCCACCACCCACCCCCACCACCCCCAATACCCCACCCAAACTCCTCAAATAAATACACACAACACAACCACACCCCAACCAACCAACACACAAAAACTACCCCAACCCCAAAACCCCCAACACCACCAACCCCTCACACACCAACCCCCCACCATCACCACCAACCCCCCCATACCCCCCCCCCCCACTCCTACCCCAAAAAAACCAAATACACACACCACAACCCCCAACCCCCCAACCAACCACCCCCCCACACCCCAACCACCCCACCCACCCAAACCACCACCACCCCCCAACAAAAACTACAAAACAACCCCCCCCCCATTACCCCCCACACCCAAATACAAAACAACAACCCAAAAAACCACAACACACAACCAACCCCCCACCCACAAACACCCCCACCCCCAAACACAACATATCTATAATCACACTAAACACCTCATTATTCCATAATAAAACCACACATAACAAACTCCCATATCCACCTACCCCCCCTATATATCCCCCCTATCCCTACATATCTTTATTCCCCCCTATCTTCTCTTTTCACCCAACCATCCTATTCTTACCTCTCCTTTATACCTTATCCTTATTATACATCCCCCTCACCACATACTCATCACCATTCATATCATCATATTACTACCACACCATATCCCATAATCCAACCAATCATACAAACCTTAATATATAATTCAAACCAACCCCCCCCCCCCCCTCCTCCTTTCCCATACCTTTTCTATTATTCCTTCATATTACCTCCCATACCCCCCCTCCCCCTCCTTACTTCCCCCCCACCCCCCCCCCCTCTCAACATCCCCCCCCACCCTCTTATCTACCCCCCATTTTAAATCTCCCATTCCACCTCACATCTCAACAAACAAATACCCCCATATTTTCCCATTACCATAATCCTCTCCAACCATTTACTTCCATATCCCCACCAACACACACACTAATATCACATAAACTACTCACTCATACTCACCACCACATCCAAAAACTCCAAACACAATAATCCCATAACAAATCCCCTAAAAACACACACCAACAAACCCCCCCCCACCCCCACTCCCCCTCACATACTCACCTATACAACCCCTTTTCCAACATCACAATCCTAACATCCACAATACCCCCCAATCATCCCATCCCTCACACCAATCCATACATCACCACATTCCACTCCTATTCTTCCCCTTTATCCTCTATCAACATCTCCTTATATACATCCACCCCAATACAACAACTTTCTTTCACCTCCTCTCCCATCCACCCTCCCCCAACCCCCCTCACCCCCCCCCCCTAATCCTATTTACATTAACCACAATTCCCCCTTTCACCAAACTATCCAAAACAAATCCTCTAAACAAATCTAAAAAATCAAAATACATAAAAATCCCCATTTTTTTAACCCCAACCTACCTATATTCACCCATAAATATATATATATATATCTAAATCAATATATCTACATATATATCCTTAAAACACATACTCCATTAAATTTTACACCAAACACCACCTACCCTCCAACACATCTCATTCCACAACCTACACCACTCTACACATCATAAAAAAACCAAAATATCACACACCATCCACCCCCCATACTCCATAACCTCCCCCTCATAACAACTAATTACCTATAAATCAACATTTCACACCATAATATAAAATAAATAAAACATACAACCAATCATATATAAAAAACCTATATACAATCCAAAATATAAAAACCATCACACTCATCCCAACATCAATCATATCATTCACCAAACCTCATCAATACATTCCAACCCCCATAAAACAACACCCTAACCCTCACCCCTCCCACATCCCTCCCACAGACCAAAAATTCCCACATCTTTACTCTCAAACATTCCAACACCATAAATTAACCCCCACCACACCCCTCATCATCCAAAAAAACAACCATCATATAATCACACCACAACATCCCCACACATAAAAAATTCAACAACCACCTCACAAACATCCCCCCATCAACTATTATCCAAACCATATTTCCATATTACCAAAACAAATCCAAAATTAAACAATAATATTCTAATTTTAAAAACAAAATTAATATCCTCAATAATCCATAAATCAAAACCTACCCCACACAATCTCCATACCCAAAACATAACATTTTTAACCTTATACATCCTTCAACCATACAACACCCCCTATATCAAACACAATTACACACCCATATATCAAACATACAATACACCATCCCCCCCCCCCACACCTCCAAATCCCTCAAACCCACCCAAAAATCCCTATCCACAAACACAAATTACTCACAAAACCCCCCGCTAACCCACCACACACAAACCATTCTCCCAATACATACAACTTAAAATCTCACCTCTACAATTCAAAATTTCTATTAACTATTATAAACAATAATAATTCAATCAGTCTAACATAATATCCCTCCTCACACACTATACCACCACCACCTATATAATATCAATATCTATCATTCTTCTCTATCCAAAACACCAAACAATCAAACAACAATTATAAAACCAAAATAACTCACCCAATTTCTCATATACACATTTTCCCCAAACCAATAACAATAACCCCAAAAACACCCTTCAAATATTATAATATATTACATCTATAATACACTCACAACAACCAAAAAAACATAACATTTCCAAAATTAAATTATTCCATCATTCAACTCATTATTCATATTATTTCTTATACCAATACCTGATAATACACTATCCCTTAGCAATCCAAACTAATATGCCACATTTATTTAAACATACAACATCCACCCCTTTTACCCATCATTTTTTATAACATACATACCTATCTATTTTTTACATAACAATCCCATTCAAACCCCACATTCCCCACCCCCCTAAATACACACCCAACACAAAAAATGTACTAAATTTCAAGTATATTACCCACCGACTCATTCATTCCCACCTACTCAATTCATACAATCAAATTAATCTAACCATACAACATTTTTTTTACTTAAAGTAGTCTATCATACACATCATCTTTAACATCCATCTAATATATGTTATTCATGTGAACCCTCTGTAGTAATCCATTAATAACTCCCCCCACCAAATTCCAAAATCACATACATTTTAACCTATGTGCTTTAGTCTTTACTTTAAACAATAAATCAGATTTAATATCCAATCAAGCTTCTTATTTAATAACCATCATCAACCAACAAATAACTCATATACATAACCCACACCAACATCATCCAACTTACAACACCATCATTAATACATAAAACATAAAAAACAATATAATTAGAAACCAATCAATACACAGACCCTAATTCAGTCTACTATTATAACCTAATATTTACTATATACTTTTTTATCATTATTTGATAACAAAATTTTAATATATCTCCTATACTCTAATTATACATCTATACATTCATATTAGTCTTGAAGTTTAAATTATACCCAACAAGGTCTCCATATAAAACTCCCACACAACTCCCACAATTAAAAACCCGCACCCACACACACACAAACAGATACACAAACTTTAATTAGAACCCCCCCATTTTCAAATATAGTCATTATTCAAAAAACTCAATAATATTCCTTCAAATAAGACAACCTCATTTTACCCCCCATCCCTATACCCCCCCTACCCCCCTCAATCCCCCATATATAAACTATAACATAACCATACTACCAAATCAATCCCAAACACATAAAAACCACCTATCTTCAACCCCCCCCATCCCCACCACCACCCCCCACACCCCCATACCCAAACCCCAACAAAATCCCTAACAACCTCATACCCCATCTCTATATCCAAACCAACCCATACCCACTACCACATCCCCCCAAACTCCAACCCCCCCCAATCCACACCCAAACACCCCTACACTATAACACATTTTAACTTTAAATTTTACCCACCCATAACAACACCACCAAAACCCCCCAACCAAATCCCACTCTCACAAACCTCCCCCAACCATAATCTAACACTCCCTCACTACCTCCCCCACTCCTACAACAATATACACAAAAATATCACCAACATCCAAACATCCAAAAAAACCCCAACCCCCCCAACAACAAACCCCCCCCCACCACCAACACCACAACAACCCAAACACCCCCCCCCCCCCCTACAAATCCACACCCCCCAAAAACACAACAACCCCCACCAACCAAAACAAAACAACAAACAAAAAAAAAAACCAACACCCCCCCACACCACACCAACCCAAAAACCCAACCCACAAACAAAAAACCCACCTCCCCCCCCACCCAACACACACAACACAAAACCCCCACCCAACCCCAAACCCCCCCAACCCACACCACCCCCACCCCCACCAACCCCCAACACAAAAACACCAACCAAACACCCCACAAACTCCCCACCAACCACACCTATCCCACACCCAACCAAACAAAACCCCCCAACACCCCCCCCACCCCCAAACACCAACCCCACACCAAACACCCACCCAACCACACAACACACCCCCCCCCCACACCCCCCCCCAACCCACCCAAACCCCCCAACCCCCCCACACCCCCCCCCCCCACCCCCCCACCCCCACCCACCCCCCCCCCCCACCCCCCAACCCCACCACCACCACAACCAACTACCCCCACCCCCCCCCCCCCCCCCCCCAAACCCCCCCCACCCCCCCCCCAACCCCAACCACCCCCACCACCCACCCCCCAAACAAAAACACCCCACACCCCCCCCCCCCCACACCCCCAAAACACACACCCCCCCCAACCCCCCACAAACCCCACCCCCCCCACCCCACCCCCCCCCACCCCCAACCCCAAACACACAACCCACCCCCCCCCCCCCCCAAAAACCCACACACCCACCCCCCACCCCCCCACACCCCCAACAACACCCCCCACAAACCACCAACACACACCAACAAAACCACACCACACCCCCCCCCCCCCCCCCCCCCCCCCCCCCCCACCCCACCCCCACCCCCCCACACAACCCCAACCCCAACACCCCCCCCAACCACCCCCCCCCCCACCACCCCACCCCCCCCCCCCACCCCCCACCAAAACCAAAACCCCCCCCCCCAACCACACCAAACCAACACCCCACAACCCCCCCCCCACCCCACAAACCCCAACCCCCCACCACCCCCCCCCAACCAACCCAAACACCCCCCACACCACCACCACACACCCACCCCACCCACCACAACAAACCCAAACCACACACCCCCAACCCCCACCACCCCCCACCCACAAAACCACCACACCCCCCCCACCCAAAACCCCACAACACACACCCCCCCCACCCCCCACCACCCACACCCCCCCACCACCCACCCCCCCCCCCCAAAACAACCCACCCACACCAACACAACCCCCAACCCCACCCCCCAACAAACCCCCACCCACACCCACACACCACACAACACACCCCACACCCCCCCCCAACCCCCCCCCCCACACACCCCCCCCACAACCCCCCCACCCCCCCACCCCCAAAAACACCCACCAACCCACAAACCACCCCACCCCCCCCCCCAACCACCCCCCCCCCCCACCCCCCCCACACCCACCCACCCCCAACACCAACCCCCCAACCCCACCCCCCAAACACACACCCCAAAAAAAATAAACCCAAAAAAACCCCCCCCCCCCCAAAACACCCCACCCCCCCCCCCCCAAACCCCCCAACCCCCACCACCCACCCACACACCACAACCCCCTCCCCCTCCCCCCCCCCCCCCCCCACCCACCCCACCCCCCCACACCAACCCACCCAAACCCCCCCCCCACCAACACCCCCCACACACCACCCCCACCCCCCACCCACCCACCCACCCCACACCCCCCACCCCCCACCCCACCCCCCCACCCCCCACACCCCCCCCCCACCCCCCCACCCCACCAACACCCCCCAAACACCCCAAAACCCACCCCCCACACCCCCCAACCCACCCACCACAACCCACCCCCCCCCCCCACACCACCACCACACACACCCCCCCCCCACCCCCCCCCACAACCCAACCCACAACACACCCCCCCCCCCCCAACCCCCCCCCCCCCCCACACCCAACACCCCACCCCCCCCCACACCCCCACCCTCCCCACCCCACCCCCCAACCCCACCACCCAACAACCACACCCCCCCCACAACACCCCCACCCCCCACCACCCCCCCCACCACCCCCCCCCCCCCACCCCCACCCCACCCCCCACCACCCACCCCCCCCACCCCACCCCCCCCACACACCACCCCCCCCCCACCCAACCAACCCCACACCCAACCAACCCCCCAACCCCACCCCCCCCCACCCCCCCCCCCCCACCCACACACCCCCCCCAACCACCCCAACCCACCCCCCCCCCCCCCCCAACCCCACCACAAACCCCCCCACCCCCCCCCACCCCACCCCCCCCCCCCACACACACCCCCACCCCCACACCCACCAACCACCACCCCCCACCCCCACCCCCCCCCCACACACAACCCCCACACCACCCCCCACACACCCCCCCCCCCACCCCCACCCCCCCCACCCCACCCCCCAACCCACCCACCCCACCCCCACCCCCCCCCCCCCCCACACCCCACCCACCCCACCCCCCACCCCACCCCCCCCACCACCCCCCCACCCCCCCCACCACCCACACAACAAACCCCACCACCCCACCACCCCCCACCTCACCACCACCCACCCCCCAAAACCCCCCACCCCAACCCACCACCCACAACCCCCCCACCCACCCCCCCCAAACAAACCCCCACCCCCCCCCCAACCCCCCAACACCACACCCAAACAAAACCCCCTCCACACACCCCCCACCAACCCCCCCCCCCCACCCCCCCACCCCCCACCACCACCCCCCCCCCAACCCAACAACACCCACACAACACCACCCCCAAACACACCAACCCCCCACACCAAAACACAACCCACCCACCCCCCCACAACACCCACCCCACCACCCACAACCCACAACCACCCCCACCCCAAAACCCAACCACACACCCACCCCACCCCCCACCAATCCAACAACAACCCTCACCCCCACCCAAAACCCCCTACCAAACACCACTCCACACACACAAACAACCCCCACCTCACCCCCACCCCCCCCCCAAACCCCCACCTCCAACACCCCCCACCAAACACCAACACCCCCCCACACCCCCCCCACCCCCCAACCCAACCACCCCCCCCCCCACACCCAAAACCCCCCCACCCCCCACCCCAACCCAAAACAACCCACCCCCCACCAAACAACACCAAACCCCCCAAAACACACAAAAAAACCCACCAAACACTAAAAAAAACCCAAACCCCCACCCACCACAAACAAAACAACACAACAACAATAACAAACCCCACAAAACACCACAAACAAACCAAAAAAAAACCCAACAAACACCCCCACACCACCCACCCAAAACCAACCCCAACCCTCAAAACCCCACACCCCCACCCACAAAACCAACCCCCCCCCACCCAACACACAACACACCACCAAAAAAACCCCCCCCCCCCCAACACCAAAACCAAAAACCAACAAACCCCCACCCCCCCAGACCACCCACAACAACAACAAAACAACAACAACACCCCCCACACCAAACACCCCACCAACCCCCCCCCAACCAACACCAACCCCCCACCCCCCCCCCCCCAAACAACCCCCAACCCAAACACCAACAAACAACAAAACAACCCACCAAAACCCCACCCACCAAACCAACCCCACCCCCAACACCACACCCCCCCCCACCCCACAACACACCCCCAAAAACACCACCAAAACCACCACACCACCAAACACAACAACAACCCCCAAAAAACCCAAAACAAAAACAACAACCCCAACCAAAACTCAACCCCCCCCACACCCCCCCCCCACCAACAAACCAAAAACCAAAACAAAACCCCCCTTCACCCCCCCATCCAAAAACCTCCAACACACTATCCCAACAAATCCCCCTACACACACACACCCAACAAACCCCCCCCCCACCCCCCACACCCCCCTCCAACACACCCAAACCAACCCCTTTTCCCAACATCCCATCCAACCATTCCCCCAACCCCCAAATCCAAACCTCCCTCCAACCCAATACCCCTAAATCCACAAAACCCCCCCCACTATTCTTCCAAAAACCACAATCCCCATCACATCCTTATAATCCTCCCCCCCCCCCAAAACACCCCCCCATACTTTATCCCTTCCCCCCTCACCCACTCCACCCTTCCCACCCCCCCTCACCCCCCCCCTAATCCTCATAATCAATTAAACCAAAACCAATCCCCAAAAATCCAACAACAAAATCCTCCTACACAAACTACAAAACCCCAACCACACTCCCCCTTTTTATAACCCCCCCCAACCCTACCTATATACACAAAAATAAATAAAATAATCATACAACAAAAAATCAACAAAACAAACCCCCATCAAACCACAAACATCCCCAAAAATATACCCCAACCCCCCTACCCTCAACCACAACACATCTCACCAACTACACCCCAACCACCACATCAACCCACACCCCCAAAACCACCCCCCCCACATCCCACCCCCCTAACCCAACACCCCCCTCAAACCACCATCATACCCCAAACCACACATACAACCATACCAATACAAAACATCACCAACCCCACCAATCCAAAACAACCCAAATACAAATCAAAAAAAACCCCATACCCAAACCCACAAACATACATAATACACCACCCTCCCTCAATCCCATATCCAACCCCCCTTCAACCAAACAACCCTAACCCCTCCCCCCTCCCAACCCCCACCCCCCACCAAAACAACCACACAAAACTACACCCACAAACCACCCACCCCACTCAAACCCCCCCACCCAAAACCCCCCCATACCAATAAACACACCCCCAACCACCCCCCCCCCCATAACCAAAACAACAACCACCAAACCAACACCCCCCCCCCCCCACACTAAAAACCAACCCAACAAAAACCCCACACCCCACCCACCTAACACCCCACAAAAACTAAAAAAAAACCCAAAAAAATATCCTCAATAAATCAAAAATCAAACCCCTACCCCCCACCCATCCTCCCATACCCCCCCCAACCTATATACCCAAATACATCCACACATACACCCCCCTAAAAAACACAATAACAACAAACTCACAACAATACAATAACACATATCCCCCCCCCACACCTCCCCCTAAATCCCCAAACCACCCCCCCCCCCCCACAAACCAAACCCACAACCCAATCTACTCACAAAACCCCCCTCCCCCCCCACCACCCCCACCCCCACCCCCCCCAACCCAATCATACCCCACCCAACCCCACCCAATCACCCCTCACCAACACCCCCACTATACTAACCACTAAACACCCCCCCAACACCAACAATCCAATCAACCACCAACAACCCCCCCACAAACACCCCCACCCCAAAAAAACACAACACACTCAATAAAATCAAACCCCCCCCCCCCCCAACCCCCTCAAAAACACCCCCACAAACAACCACAATCACCCAAAACCAAAACACCCCCACACAAAACCAACCCCCAAACACACCAAACTAAAAAAACATCACACAAATACCCTCACCACACCCAAACCACACCCACAACCAAAAAAAAACACAAAACCCAAACTTCAATATAAAACCCCCCAAACCCCCCACCACACCACCCACAAACACCCCCCCCCCCCCCAACACACCCCCAAAAATAACACAACACCAACCAACCCCAAACCCCCACCATAAAAACCCCAACCCAACAAACAACACCACCCCCCACCCCACCCCCCCAACCCCCCCCACATCCCCCCCCCCCTCCCAACCCCCCCCCCCCCCACCCCCCCCCTACCAACCAACCAACCCACAACCCCCCCCCCTACCCACATACCATCCCCCCCACCTCCCACATAAACCCACACAACAACCACACACCCTCAACCCCAAATTTAATCATAATACTCACCTCCCCCCACTTCTCCCCCCTCCCCCTCATAATCTATATCATATCCCCCCAATTCTACCACCCACCAAACACTCCCAAACATCCACTCCCAACATTATAACCAATCATTAATCAATCCCAATCCACCCTCCCCACCTAATCCAACCCACCTATTAACATAACCTCACACCCACCCAACTAACCCCTACAAACCTAACCCCCCCCACCACCCCCCCATACAAACCCCCCATCACTTCCTCCACAACCCCACCCCCCCCCCCCACTTCATTCTCACCCCTCCACCCATACCCCATTCCCTACTCACACCTAATACATACCCAAACATCATATAACTCCTACTTATCACCCCCCATAACCACACCTCTCTCCCCCCCCACAATCTCATCCTCAACCCCCTACCATCTTCCTACAATATTCACATCCCAATCAATTAACCCTAAAATTCCCAACAACCCCCCCCCCCCTTAACCACTCCCCCCCCTCCCCCCACCTCCCCCCTCCCCCTCCCCCCCCCCCCACCCCCCCCTCCACCCCCCCCCAACCCACACAAACTCCCCCCCACCAACACACACAACCCAAAACCCCCCCACCCACCCCCCCATAAACCCCCAACCACCAACCCTCCCAAACAAACCATACCCCCCCACCACAACCCCAAAATAACCAAAATACAAACCAAACACTAAAATAAACAAAACCACCCCAAAAAAACCACCACACACCACCAACACACCACCCCAACCCCAAACCCCCACCAACAAAACACAACACCACAAACCCCAACACACAAACCCCTCAACCAACCCCCAAACCACACCCCCACCATCCCCAACCTCATACCCAAACCACACCCAAACACCCCAACATAAAAACAAAATACACATTATATATACCACCTAACCCACACACACCCAAACCCCACCCAAAACCCCCACTACTCCCAAACCCTCCCCCAACCCTAAACTAACACTCCCTACTACCTCCCCACTCACACAACATAAATACACAAAAAATAAAACAAACCCACCCCAACCCCAACCAATACCATCCCCCAACCCCAAACCCCAAAATAACCCCCACCCTCCACAACACAACACCCAAACACCCCCCCCCCCCCCCAAAAAAAACCAAAAAAAAACAAAAAAACACCAACAACAAACACCAACACAAAAAACACAATAACCCACAACCCCCCCCAAACCCCCCACAACCCCCTAACCCAAAACTAACCCAAAAAACCCTACCCACCCACCCCCCCCCCCCACCCACACACACCCCACACAACCCACCCCAACCCCAACACCCACCCACCCAACCACCCACACCACCCACCCCAAAATCCAAATCCACCCCATACCATTTCTCCCCCCAAACAACCACCCCAACCCCATTCCACAAACACAAACCACACCCCTAAAAAAAAACCAACCCCCCCCCACCAAAAACAACCCCCACAACACACCCAAACCAACCCCAACAACACAACACCCACACAACCCCCCCCAACCCCCCCAAAACACCCCCCACACCCCCCACCACACCACCCCCCCAACCCACCCAACCCCCCAACACCACTCCCCCCCCCACCCCCCCCACCCCCCCCCCAACCCACCCACCACAACCACAACCAAACCCACCCCCCCCCCCACCCCCCCCACACCCACACCACCCAACCCCCCCCCCCCTACACCCTACCACACCAAACCCACCCACCCCCCACACAACCTCACAACCAACCCACCCCCCCCCCACCCCCCCCCAAACCCACCACCAACCACCCCACACCACAAAACACAACCCCTAAACCAAACCCCCCCCCCACCCAAACAACCCCACCAAACAACCCCAAAACAAAACACAACCCAACACCCCCCAACAAAAACACACACCACCCCCCACCCCACCCCCCCACACCCCAACAACACCCCCCAACACCACCACAAACACACCAACAACCACCAACCACCCCCCCCCCCCCCCCCCCCCACCCCCCCCCCCCACCACCCCCACCAACCCCCCCAACACAACCACAACCCCCCCCAACCCCCCCCCCCACCCCCCCCCCCACACACACCCCCACCCCCCCCCCCCCCCCCCCCCAACCACACCCATAAACCCCCCCCCAACCCCCCCCCAAAACCAACACCCCCCACAACCCCACACCCCAACACCACACACAACACCCCCCTCCCCCACCCCCCCACCAACAACACCCCCACACCCCACACCACCACCCACAACACCCACCCCACCCACCACCCACAACCCCAAACCCAAAAAACACACCACCCCACACCCCCACCACAAACAACCACACCCCCCCCCCCCCCCACCCCACACCCACAACAAACAACCACACCACCACCAACCCCACACAAACCACAACAAAAACCCCCCCACCAACACCCCACCCACAACCACACCAACCCAACCCAACCCCCCAACCCCCAAACCAAAACCCAATAATAATAAAGATTATTTTTTAATCGACCAATCAGGATTGCCGGTGTTACGTGGGGTTTGCACTGCCTTCTCAAGCTTCTCTCATGCAGCAGCGAGAGGAATCCAAGATGGCGGACGTAAAGTCCGCGAATCTTTTTAAAAGAGTAAATACAATCGAATTAAGACACGGATGTCACTTTTAATGCAATTTGAGGCGAGATGTTGATGGTTCTATGTTAATATATGTGTGTTTCAAGAGTCAAATGTTCTTGTAAAGTTTGGTTGAAGCACTGGTTCAGTGTTCCTGTTTACACACTATGCAGCAGGGTTGCCAGGTTTGGTGGTTCCCGCATATTTTTTTTCCAAGAGACTTGTAGGTATTAAGTAAACAGAAAGACAATAAACAGAATCATGATAGTCCAAGTTGATTACATTAAGTTTTTAGCCAAAAAATCATTCTGAGTGTTTTTGTGTGTGGGTATTCTCGCGGATTTTGGGTTGGAAAATCTTGCTGGGATTTGGCAACCTATGGGAGCCGTGTGCTTCGATGTGAGTGGTTAAAAGCAGACTTCATTCAAGATAACGGACACGTGGTCTATCCAATCACATACAAGGATTTTTTTTTTACAAGGCCCTGCCTTCTGAAATCCAACCACTATGGCTCAGTACCAGACTTATGGGGTAAGGTTACTGTCAATAAAGACGTGCATGTCTAAAAAAAATGCGTGCATATTTATTGGTATTTGTGCATAATTTATTTTTATGAATTCATGATTAAGATAATACAAACTAAAAAGACATGGAATTTCGTAATTAAGAATAAAAAAATATAAAACTGTATGTGTGATTTCGTACTTGTGAATACGATTCTTTTTTGTGTGCTTGCATTTTCTTTTAGAGAATACGAATTTCAGCAGTGAGCAAACTGTCAATAATACGTCACTGCTCACAGACATTAACAATCGAGCCTGCGCAGAGTTGCTCATGGCAGAGGGCAACAACATTAACAATTTGGCTCAAAATCAGGTAAATAACTATATTTGATCATTTTGGTCGTAAATAAATGTGTAAGAAATATTAATTCCATAAAATGTGTTCATAAGATGTTTCTTGTCCCTCTCTAGAAACGTTTTTTAGGCAGTGTTTAGTTAACACTAGCTTCAAGGCTAGTTTTACAGCTTACCATGTTATTTTAAAACCAACATTTTTACATTCTTAGCAGTTACATTTTATGAAGCCTTTGCCCCAAATCAATGTGGTTAAAGTGTTGATACCAGCCCCAACCCTCCAGATTATTCATAGTTGGAGCTGTTACTGCCCCTGAGCAATATGGAGAACACCTCCGTGCTATATTCATCCTTGGTTGTTAGACGTAGCAGACCCTGTCCCTGTGGACCTCAATCTTATATTTGTACATTTGACACATTACTTTTACTCACTAGTTCAGTAAGACTAGTTAGTCTGTTGTTTAGACTAAAATAAATGCATTATTTTCTGTAGAATAAAACAATATAAGGATAAGAAAATAAAACTAGCATTGGAGCTAACAACACTGCCAAAAAACCTTTAGAGGGACAAGAAACATCTTCTTATGAACACATTTATGGAATTAATATTTCTTACACATTCATTTACAACCAAAATGATAAAATATAGTTATATACTTGATTTTGAGCCACTTTGTTTATGTTGTGTCCTTCTGCCATGTTTAGTTTTTAGGCAATGAAGTTGATCAACTCTGTGCAGGCTCGATTGTTAATGTCTGTGAGCAGTGACGTATTATTGACAGTTTGCTCACTGCTGAAATTCGTATTTTCAAAAAGAAAATGCAAGCACACAAAAAAAAATTGCATTCACAAGTACAAAATCACACATACAGTTTTATATTTTTTTTTATTCTTAATTACGAAATTCCATGTCTTTTTAGTTTGTATTATCTTAATCATGAATTAATAAAATATTTGTATGCACAAATACCAATAAATATGCACGCATTTTTTTTAGACATGCACGTCTTTATTGACAGTAACCTTACCCCATACAGACTCGTGTGAAATGCAGCGAACTACATGGGTCTGGCGAGAGTCAGGCTAGGGGTCTCTATCTTGTTCTCATAATCCATAACGTTTGCTGCAACAGTCTTGTAAAAGTATCGTTTTATACAAAAGATCTTACAACAACTGAAGATGTGTGTAAAGAAAGAGCCCTGTTTGACACAGATCATGCAAAAAAACGTGTTTTTTATGTAAAATTTGATGTTTTTACTCTCAAGCTGAGTATCCAATTAGAGAACAGAATTGGCATCAAACGAGTCTCATTTATGTTGGCTGTTTCTTTTTTGAAAGACATTTCTCATTTCACTAAAACAATAAGATGGAATGGCTTGGTAAACATTTAGAGTTTACTGATTATGAAATGGAACCAGATATATTTGAGATATTGCCACATTTTCTCATGTTATCTGCAAAGTTAGGTCAATTTGTATTGTAACTGCAGCAAATAGCAACAGGGAATTTACCATAGCAACCATTAAGCAACAACATACAAAGCTGTTATGAGTTCCACAATACTTATTAATATAAGTAGTAATAGAATAATTAAAATAATAATAATACAATTATAACAGGATAAGAAATATTCAATATCACCTGTATCTTGTTGAGTGAAAATGTAACATGTTAGGTAATTGCTTTTTGTGTGCTAATAATCAATTAATTTTAAGACTTAGTTGGAGGTATTCAATTTGACTACTCCTAAATTACTTCTTGTATATTTTCCAAAAGGTTCTTCAACTTTGTGTCAGATTCAACCTTTAATGTATATAACACATTCCACATACACAAGATCTACTACACATATTCCCCAGAGATTCTGTCCCAAAGTCATCACTTGTATAGTTGGGTCATGTGGTTCGTTAGCCCTGTGGACTCTGCTCTGTCTCTGGCTTGCTCTAATTAAACTGTAACAGTGGAACTGCCTAATTGCCTGACATCACAATACCATATTCTCGTTCTCAGCTCTTCCTTTGTCGACCTCTTGCTCCCTGCCCCATCCTAACTACGAAGCCTGTCTAAAAATATATTTGGTGGGAGTATCTCTCTCTGCATTTAATTAAAAAGGGAGTATTCCTAGTGTCAATGTCTAACAGGGCCCCTGCTATACACCCTATTATCTAAACTTCAAGAACATTCCTCCGTGGATAATCCTGGCTCGTCATAACGAGGCAAGCTTTCTTTCTCGTTTATCGTTGGTGGTTAGATAATTGTCCAAATCTGAGGTTTCTTGTGTGGTTTACTTTCCTCAAAGGCAATTACTTCTACTCAGAATGACTTTGCGTATCGATAGTGTAGAAAATAATTTCAATCCCACCTTTCAAACCAAATGATTTAGTAAATGTTGAGTAGGTGATGGTAGATCACAACTTGAACTTGATTAAAGCTGGGATACCCAACTCTTTTTTTCATGAATGCATGTTTTTAGTCCCCACAATGTTGTCAACAAATCAGAACACAACATGCTGCAGCTCAATGGAAAAACAATAATATTTTGCATACTTGTAAAGTCACGTTTGACTATCTCACTATCTCACTATGAGAGGATTGGTTATATAAGGGTCGTTGGTCCTCTCTTTTTCACTTTTGCTTTCGGTACAACGTCTGAAGCCACGTGTACATTAAAACTATAGAACCAAAAAGTTTTGAGCTTGTTAGATGGATTTTATTAAATACCTTTCTGCTTTGGAAAATTAATCAGCCTTAAGATCTACCAATACTCCGATTCAGTTAATATCCCATTTGCAGTAAAACCCACAGTGGACTAAATAAAACATGTCCCATTATGTCTAATAAATATCTAAACCATGTAGACTTTGCTTGTCTCTGCTCCCCTGTCTCCCTGCTGCTCCTGTTGGCCATTGCCTGTGTCTGTTTGTCTTGAATTTCCCATTAGAATCCAATTAGGCTGTGCAAGTGGAGAAAGGCCACATGGTTACACAGAAGCTCACTGGGAGAAAGGCGTATTAGTAAATGGACAGCCAAATGTGCGCAGTCAACAGAAGACAAGTGTGCTTATTTGTAAGTCTCAGTTTCAGATTACAACATGCTCTGGCTAATCTTCACTCAGAGTGGTAGTAATGGGTTTAGAATGAGCTACTTCTGTGTTGTTTTTGTGCTAAAAGGGAAAATCCCTCTGAAATTATAACACACATGTAACACAATGCTATGATATCTTTGAGAACAGGGCTTTCATAAGTCGAGTTCACCACCACCACCACCTTTTCATGTTATAAAATTGCATGTTTTTTTTAACCCTTTAATCGTTTCCTCGACCATCTGGTAGATCACCTTTTGAGTCACTATACTTCATGCTTGAACTGAAATCCACCTCTTTGGGGCATCCCACTTGGTTTTAGGCACTTTTACCATCAAGCTGCATCTCAACCATTTGGTAAAGGCCAAAAAAAAAACTAGTGGTAAAAAAAAAAGAAAACTAGAAAAGACTAACCCTAACCCTAAAAACAAATTATTTATGTTATTAGTGTTCCTACATATTATAAAATCCCAAAAAAGAAAAAAAGAACATTGCTTTCTTCAAGGAGTGAACATTGTTTATTTATTCAGTTTCTTAAATCAGTAAGAGGAATAGCCTCGAGATGAACAATCTAGTTTTCGAGGGGGTCATCAGTTCAAATTCAAGCTAAAAAGCAGGGCAGAATAACAAAAAATTAGACAAAGACAAAAAACGAATAACTATTACACTACCGTTCAAAAGTTTGGGGTCACATTGAAATGTCCTTATTTTGAAGGAAAAGCTGTAGATAACTTTAAACTAGTCTTAACTGTAAAGAAATACACTCTATACATTGCGTATGTGGTAAATGACTATTCTAGCTGCAAATGTCTGGTTTTTGGTGCAATGTTGTAATGGCTGCAAATGGAGGATTCTTTGAGGAAAGCAAAGTTGGATGTAAAACAAATCTTATTTCAAATACAAATCATTATTTCTAACCTTGTCAATGTCTTGACTCTATTTTCTATTCATTTCACAACGTATGGAGGTGAATAAGTGTGACTTTTCATGGAAAACATTTGGGTGACCCCAAACTTTTGAACGGTAGTGTATATATAATAATAATAATAAACATTAAAATTGTATATTCTTTTATATAAATATATATAGACAAGCTTGTTATCCGTGCATTCTGAAGATGTCGCAGGAGCAGTCAAGGTGGAGGGTAATCCTTCAGGATCAGCTGTGTGTGGGTGGACACGCGTACAGCTGCCTCCTTAACTAACACAATGACTATTACCTCTGTGTGCATCCTGAATACTCCACAAGGCCGGTTTTACCAGTTGATGGTTTTTTTCTGTGCAAAACGTAATGTTTCTAGACAGGCCAAAGCAAGTATTGTGTAGTCCTAGTACTTAGTTATTGTCCATACAGTTGAACATGTTTGGTGCCATTCTTCAGGCTGGATTATATGCTTTTCTGCAATTTCCTCACACTTTACTGGGGAATTAAACATTTGTTGATCATTGTTTGTGTGCTGCATAGGATAACATGAATCAGCCCCTTTAGCTTATGTTTATGTGTACCTCGTGTGTGTACAGAAAGAGCATTGCTTTCACCTGTGGCACATTTGAGAAACTCCTTCTTGACTGTAAGAGCATAGAGTAGTTGTTCTTCTGATGACAGGTGCTGAAACATGTGAAACAGTAAATGTGCCGTTAATTATCAGAGCGGCGCCACAGAAACAGAGTGAAACAGTCAGCTCAGTCTGAGATATGAGACTCACTTGCTTTTTTCATCATTTATTTTCACACACTGTATATCCATCCTATTCTTAGGCCTCAGCTGAAGCCTTATCTATTGTGTGCTGACTCATCTGCTCCTGAGGAGTCCATAACTGAAACGTGATAAGACAGATAGGTCTTATCCCTACTTTGTAATGGCACAAAATGCACATAGAAAATTGAGTTATAGAATTTGAGTTTGACCGAACTGGAAGTAGGCTCTGGACTTTTTTGTTTTTGAATAAATTACTTTTGTTATTGTACTATCGGCCAAAGTTTGTTTGTCAGCATCACAATCATTGTTTCACCTCTGAATTCTGCCTAAAACACAACCTTGCTCTGTAATTTGTAAAATATTCAAACCACTAGTGGTTCAGGCCAATCTCATGAGAGCTGACCAAGTATTCAAAATGCTAAAATCTCTCTGTAATTTTTTTACACAGCACAGATTTGTTGAGTGCATTAAAATGGCTTCTATTCTTGATAATTCAAAATTCAAGCATTAACAGATTCCTCTCTCACCACTCTGGATAACAATGTTTGCTCTGCACCTAAAAACATTTGCTTAAGGTTACAGCTGTTTGACTTTTTTCTATATGAATATTTTTGAAAATAATACATATTTTGTTGGAACACATTTTACCTATGATGCTCTGGGTATTTGGGTGATGGGGGAAACAGGAGCACCCAGAGTAAATCCACCCAGACACGGGGAGAGAGACATACAAACTCCACACAGAAAAGCCTGGGCCTACACGGAAATCCCACTTCTACTGTGAGCACTGAGTGCTACCCACTCAGCCACCGTGTCTTATTATCAAAGAGGACTGTCACCGCAGCAGACTGCACAGCATATACCAGAGAAAACCTTGACAGAGACATAACACAAAATCCCTGTTTTCCTTAAAGCATACAAAGGTCTGCAGTTGACACCACACACACTTTCTTAATGTAAACACAATAAAATCCAAAGTTGGCTCAATTTACTGTGTGTAACAACTAACACCTACTTCACTCTTTGGAGCTAACACTTTTTGGGTGTCTCTTCTTTTTGCCCCCACCTCCGTGCTTCCTGGTTAGCTCTGCTGTGTTAATATTGTAAATGTTGTTCGCCATTGGCTCTACCTTTCCCTTCTTTAAAGATGATATCACTTGATTTTGTTAAAGTAATGAGCCCCCACGCCTGTCTCTTAGAAGAAACGTGCTCCGGTGCTATGGAATAACTGACAGAAACACACTGAGATAAAAGCTGTTATGCTCTAGACAGAGTCTCCTGCCCAGGCATCTGGATGAAACAAATGAAAAATATTCAAATTACTTTAAGGTTCATTAGTTTTCATTTCACATTCGTTAGTCTTTAATCTCCTTCTGTAAAAGCTATTTTTTATACATGACTGTTAGCAATCAGCAATTACTTCACCTTTGTCTTTTTAATGAATCACATTGTCACCCTGTACCTTTTTTTAATTGTATCAAAACCTTCTAATAAAATAATAGTGAGATGTTCCAAAGCCTACTGGTTATGATTGAAGTACTGTATACTGTGGTTCCGGAAGTATCTTTGTGATCATTATTTTTGTGAACACTGTCATTGCTGGACTATGGCTACTACTCTACTGTTTCACGTTCTCTAAATCCTGCAGCTTATTTAGCATTATGGCCAATATATGTACTTTTATTGTGGTTTATTTGAACAGCACATGGGAAATACAGGAACATGTTGCCCTAACATCATCATGATTAGGCCTACTATGAATTCAATCTTTTTCTGTTGCAGGACCCTCGAACGAAGCACAAGTTTAAGATTCACACCTATGGCAGTCCCACTTTCTGTGACCATTGTGGGTCGCTGCTCTATGGCCTCATTCACCAAGGGATGAAATGTGACTGTGAGTCCCTCTAAACCTCTACACTGTTGTGCCCTAACAAACCACTTCAGTTCATATCGCTGGTTTGAGCTTCATGTTGGATGCATTCCCCTATTTACACAACTGTTAATCACCTACATTTCATTTATACATAGGTGATTAGATCCACAAATAATGCTTGCTTACAGTAATCTTATTTTCTCGATACAATCAGATCAATTCCGTTGATTGGTGCTGAAGTGCAACAATATATAGGCAAGCTTCGATATATTATGCTCTTTCTTTTGCCCAATGCTATCATTTAAATCTAATCGATCTTAGTTTATTTATATTGACATGAAGTAACTAAAAGCCTCTTCTGCTCATTCATTCTTCAGTGTGATTCCTAAACCCTTGTTTGTTTGCATGTTCTCCCTGTGTTTAGGTATAGTCCCTCTAGGAACCCTGAATATACAATGACCTAAAAACCTTCTCCATAGTACTGTGTGATTACAATATTGATGTAACAGAATGATTTTTAATTCTTCCAAAAGAGAATTCAGAAGTCGGGTAACCACATTGATCCTAAAAACTCCCCCTTTTCCTTATTGTTATTATAAACTACTGTGGAGTGCTCTCTATGTGATTTAGAGTCACTTGTTGGAAGCAGTCTATTCCTCAGCCTCTCGACAATCACAATCACAGTGCAGTGGAAACCTTCTCCTTGATTAGACTTTGTGCCAGTAATATCCATCTCGTTCCTCTTTCTTTAAACTCCCGTTATTTTATTAACGTAATGCATCTTAAATAGCTCTTGCATTCATTATTCATATTACAGCAGCTCCTCTGTCTGCCCTTTTCTATTTTGTATCTCTGTTCATCCCTCTTTCTGAAGCAGTCTTTTCCAGTGCACTCGCCCCTGACCCTGGCCTGGCGTTACGATGAACAGTTGTCAGTCACATGCATGACATCATCAGCATTAATCTGGGTCACAACCTGAACATTGTTATATCTTCTTGGACACAAGCACTCAAATCCTTTAATATTGTTCCTGCTGTTTACACCAGACCCCAAATAAAATGGACCTGGAGATTTTGATCCCGGGCAAAGCAGCTTACTGTATTTTATGATAATTGCTTTTGCTTCAAAAAAAGAATAAAAGCATTTATGAACAGTCTGTTTCCAAAGTCCACACAGGATGTGAAATGCATTGGCAGATATTCATGTGTGTTGTTGGTTAAAATAGATTTGTGTTTTGTAAAAGCAAGCACAACGACCTTCCCGTACTCATCCCTCAAGCATCACACTATGTTCACCTCCATTTTAGCAGCAGTGGTTATGACGAGAGGCAGAGCTACACTATAACAATAATGAATGATATATTTTCAGATAACACTCGACCTTTTACAAAAGTACATTTTAATAGACGATAGATATGTATTACAATAACCGATCATAAATCCATAAAAAACTGTGACAAACAGCAGAAGGATCAATTTTTTGAATTTGTATATTTAAGATTAAACAAATAAACAGCTTAATTAAGAAAACAATATCTTCCGGATACTCCAAAGAAAATATACAGGTTATAATCAGCAAAAATTATGTTTAGTATTTTGCTTTTCCACATGGTCCTCGTTCAGTCTGCTTTATTTCCTGTATTTGTTCTTTTTGATATTTTACATTATAATGAATTTATTGACTTGTATTATATTATGCTGAGTGTTTATAATAGTTTATAAGCAGGGATGTGAATTGTTGTTTAACTATATGTTCTCTCTCCAGCCTGTGAAATTAACGTACACAACACGTGTGTGACCAACGTGCCCAGTATGTGCGGGACGGACCACACCGAGCGGAGAGGCCGGCTCTTCCTGAAGGTGGAGGTCAGCGACGAGGTGCTCCAGGTGACAGGTGGGTCTGCCACGCTCAGACTGTAGCTGCTGCTGATGTGACTGATGTGGTCGTAATATACTGTGCATGCTGCACTCTAATAGACTGCTCTCTTACGGTTGTGTGTTGGACTTTAATTTACAAAAACAAAAGGAAGCGGAAAATGGAAACGGGGAGCTGGCTGGCAGGCAGGGTGGTCAGACTTGTAACACAAGACAAAGAACGGTAGGCAAAAATACAAAAGGAGATTCTGACAAAAACTCACAAGAGGAGAGTACCCAAACTTGGGTTTGCGACATGGAATAAGATAAGAGATTCTTTATTTGTCCCACAGTGGGGAAATGTTAATGTTGCAGCGCACTTACAGGACAGTAGGAAGAGCACACAAAATATACACAATAAGTAGCTGCTATGTTTCTTAGCTAGCTGTCGATACCTCAACATGAATTTTTCGAAATATCTCTAGTGCAAAGTTATTTGCAAAGTTATATATATATAACTTATTTACCCCAACCCTAACCCCATAGAACACGATAAGTAGATAAAGTGATATTCAGGGGACATTCTGAAATTGCAGTATTGACTATTTACATTTGAATGACATGCACAGCTCTCATTGTACAGTCTGAATAATCTGGCAAAGAAGTGGAGGACAGGGTGAAGAGTGATTATGATGCAGGTGTGAATGCCTCACTGTATTAAAAACAGGGAGGGAACAGGCAGAGCAAAGACTACAGGAACATAACAAGCTAAACACAGTTGCAGCTGGGGACTTGGTTACACTTGGCAGGGATCCCCTTTCTTGAATTCTTATTTGAAGCAGTTTATTTGAGTATTTTGAAAATGACTATATAGAAAATGGGGGGGGTTCAAAATTAAAGTAAGTGTGTATCTGTTTGTGTGTGTGTGTGTGCGTTTGCTTGTGTGCGTATGTGTGTGCGGTTTTCTATGTAGACCTTGTTTGGGTTATAATTTCAAACAGTCACGACTTCCTCTGAGCTGGAATCTTCAGTCTCAATCGATTCTCTGCTGAAATATTAACATTTGTTATCACCTACTGCTAACACAGTCTAAAGTACAGACAACGATAGTACTACTGCATGGACATTTATAGCTTATGGTATCTCCATGCTATTGTTTTTTATGTTTTATGTCTTCCTTGCAGTGTGTAATTACAGTTGTATTGCATTTGTGTTTTTAACTGAAAAGCTGAACTAATGATTGATTATGCTGGATCATAACGCAGCTTGAATGGAATTCAACTGATTTCTTTATTCAAGTTCAAGCACCAGCAACTGAACAGCCATAATTTCTATTGCATAAGAGGGTCGAGAATTATGGAATTACTCAGAGTGGTTCACATCACACTCAAAGCTGCTGTTCACCTGATGTGTCTGATCTACAACATTCAGACCCAAATGTTAATCTGGATATCTTAATAAGATATTTCAGCCAAAGCTTCGTGGTGCATTCATGAGACTGTGGAACTATCCATGAACTTAAGGTATCATTTTTTGAGTTTTGGTTTTTAATTTCTGGTTGTGCAGATTGTTTGCATGTTTGATTTACAGTCAAAAAATAACTGAAGACTGTAAAAACATTCAGTGTGTAACTGTGTATGAAGTATACTGTATCCCACAAAGTTGCTCTTCTATTGGGATATCTCCCTGAAGTGATTATCTGTATTGTATACTGAAAACCAAATCCTAAGCTTTGCCAGCTGTCCTCCAAACCATATTGCAATTGAAATATTAAATTGAGTAGATCTTTTCAACAAGCAGTCCTCACTAAACACTCAAATCATGGAGGAAAATGACAAGTAAAAGGAAATGAGCACAGATACAATTCTCCAATAGGAGAGTTAAATAGTTTATACAAATTAGATTGATTGAATGGAGTTATGCTAGAGCAGACTTTGCATTCAACTGTAGTAATATCAGGATGCTAGAACCTGACAGTGAAGGGGTCGTACTGAACACACAATGATTTAATTATCCCACAAAAAAGTTTGTTCATTTAATGTAATATAGCATTATATAATATAGTGTGCTACTTTATATTTTGAAAGTTGAGCAAGAGTCTGGAAATGTCTGTGTCATGGTTTGCATGCATTTCTTACCTCTTGTATGTGTAGGTGTAGGTGTGTGTATGAGGCCAGAGCGCCTACTCAGGTTGGATTGTATCACGGAATGCATTAGCCTCACTAGAGTCAGGCAGACTGCCTTCCTCTAGTTTTTATTATATGCATTTCATACAAAATCAAGCAAGATACAAAATAAACAGAAAATTATTTTGCTACACAAAACTTATGCAAGCACGCACGCACGCGCGCACGCACATACACACATGCATGCACACACACACACACGCACGCACGCACATACACACATGCATGCACACACACACACGCACGCACGCACATACACACATGCATGCACACACACACGCACATACACACATGCATGCACACACACACACACGCACGCACGCACATACACACATGCATGCACACACACACGCACATACACACATGCATGCACACACACACGCACACACGCACATACACCCAGGGACACAGAAGATATAGAGTGTTGTTAATACAGTCAGAATATTGGTATCAATATTGACTTTGATATTGATATTTTAGTATCGTATGTCTGTGTTGAACACCTGTGTTCCTCCAGTGTAACTGACGATCATGACGGAAACAATAATTTATAAACTTGCCTCACATACAGTAGGTGCGCACTGTTGTACAGAGAATAGTGGGTGGATTTGCAAAAACACTTTTTGAACATTGAACTTTGTGGAGGTGGCCTCTTACAGTTTAACTTGTGCCTTTGGATATTACAGCAGTGCTTCTGGCAGATCTTATGAATTCTCTTGTTTACAATTCTCCGATCATTTCATCTAAGCAGGTAAAAGTGCTAGAGTGCAACATAAAACACAGAATACTTAAGTACGAATACTGACGTTTGACCGCCCTCTCACATTCATGAACGTACTGTTGGACCCAGTTGGTTAGGAATCATTAATCTACATTAATCTATGCAGTCACTATTTGTTGTTGTGTTCTTTAATGAGTGACTGCATAAACTTATGTAATAGTGTAAAAAGGATGTGAAAGTTGTTCTTTCAGCAGTTTTAACTTCTCTGATCTTCATAATAGTGTGACTCATTGCTTTTGATGCTTTTACCCTTTGTAGTATTTGCAGTATTTTTTTTTTGTATCTTTTATAATGGGACTTTTTCAATCTTATATTTTTCTTTTTTTCTGGTCTTTTTCTTTTTATGTTTTGAATGTTATATGTCTTGTTTGTGTGTGAATGGCAGTGGTGGTCGGAGGGGCCTATGGCACAGATTAGACCTCGCTTACTAACGAGCCAAAAATAGAGAGGACAAACTGTGGAAAGAGGTGGAAGAGGCTCAAAGCGACAGAGAAACAGAAATGTACTAAAACCCTTAAAGTCAAAGAAGGTGATTCTTGCTCTACAGGTTGCGCGTGAACGGAGCGTCTAACAGTCTGAGAAACAGCTTGAGGGGGTGCAGCTGATTTTGAGAACAAAGCAGATAATCTGTGCTCATGAGATCCAACTCAACCAGCAAGCCAAAGCATGCAGGATGTTGCATGCAGGAGAAGAGAATACATCACTGCTCAATGAGTCTGAGGCACAGACTCAGTCAAGGAATCGGGACCGTTTAACAAGATGGGTCACTGAATTCAAAGACATGACAAAACTCTCTGCAGAAATTCTAAGAATGCTGCAGGGAGAGTAGGCAATTTCTCTGCCTACAAACAGAGGAAGTTATGTTAAAACTGCGAAAGAAGGAGACAGAAAGTACGGTGCTGCTTGAACATTTCCCATTTTATTTTCCCTTGCACTTATCTTCAAGCCCCGAACATAATAGTAGAGCGTATTTTGTATTTATTTGAAATACATGTTTTTCTGAATCCCAGTAAAGTAAATACACACATTTTTTATCTCACCTGTAATCGGGATCAGATTAGCACACCTTTCCTTGAATAAAAACAAAATATCCTAACATACATTTTAGAATGGAAGAGTCTAATGGATGAACACTGTTTTCAATAATTATTAACATAATAAACTACTTTGCACATTCATTCTGTTCCTTTAGTGAAACCTGGTTACTCTAAAGTAAGTTTATCCATGCAGAAACTTTACTTCCTGGTTGGGCATGTCCTAAAGATATGACAGAGGTACACCAACGCAAAGCAGGCCAAAGCTTGTCTCATTGTGAGTGGGATCAGACCAGCATTTTAGTGTAATAAGGTTGTTATAGGGGTGTAGAAAAGTGTGAAAGGGGTTTAATAGGGTAATAGGGGTGTAATGGTGTAGTTGGGGTGTAATGGTGTAGTTGGGGTTTAATGGTGAAATAGTGTAGTAAGGGTGTAATAGCAGTTCTTGCCGCAGTTTTCACGTTCCTTATCTTCATACTGGTCACTGCTTTTGGAATTTTCAGTATGTACTTTTTGTATAACTTGTTTTTTATTTTATGTTTTGAATAATTTCAATCTTTCAATGATGCAGTCACTCAAAACTGCTTCAGCCATTGAACATTTTCTAGTTCTGCTCTGTACCCAGACATTATTCAAAAAGCCCAACCGTTTGTGATTAGCTTAATTGTCAATTACGATTAAGAAATACAGTTCACTATGTATCTTTTCCATTATTAAATCAATGTTCCAACCAATTATCATGGTTGGGAAGGTGCATACCCATAGTGCATTGTTTAGAACATTGACACTTGATAATTCTTTGTTTACTAATTTTCATGTTTCAGTAATTACTTAGTAGCTTCATAAATCATTATAAGACAAAAGCGTTCCATTAATTCCCTTAAAGATTAGCTGGAGTTTTCCAAAATACCAGTGGAACATGCAAATTGCTTATGTGGGCTGCTCTTGACCCAAATTGTCTTTTTAGTTGTCTATCAGAATTGATAGTATTATGAAACTACAGACTGTATCTAACATGATTGGTTTAATACATGTAATTGTTGATAACTTTACTAATGGATGTTGTAAATGGTTAATGTTCTTGTGCAAGCAGAGGTATAGTTGCAGTGAGTTCCTGAAGACTGTGTAACCAGGGAGGCAACTGTAAACAGGCCTGACCTTATCTTATAGGTGGGTAACCAGCCTACGAGCCTCTTCCCAAGTGATATGTTCAGCGACATGTCAACAGTCTACTTTTGGACGGGCAGATAGACAGAACAGGTTGACATACATGTAATCTAAGCAACATCCGCTCAAAGTGACTGCCAAGAGAGCAGTGGTCATGGCTCAACTACACTGTTAAACAGGCAATAGATTAGAGCTTTTTCATTTTAAATGAATGGTCACATCAATGTTTGACCTTCACTAGAATAATGTATTTAAAATTGTGAAAGTGATACATTAACAATGTAAATTGTGTGTTTCATACAAACTTGAAATACAAGTGTTCGTCTCATACTGTGTTTGATTTTAAGGCTCTTTTAAAAAAACAAACAAAAACAGATGAAATAGTCCTATATATTTATATATATATATAGAGTGTATTTATATATATATATATATATATATATATATATATATATATATATATATATATATATATATATATATATATATATATATATATATATATATATATAATATAAAAAAACATCATGGATGGTTCACAGAGGATCTAGCAGAGGATGCGAGGACAGGCGAGATCACCACCTACTGGTCACGACCAAAACTGCTTCCTAATTTAAATGTTAGTTTAAATTAGTGAGTGAGTTTATTGAAAAGTGGAAAGTAATCATTTGATACAGTGCAGCTAAAGGTTTTTATTTTATTTTCTGCCTCTGTATTTGTGTGTAAATGTCATCAAGTTTGTATGTATGAAAAGCACACTACAGTATTACAACTGCACCAATGACCACAGGACAAGTCATTTCTCATGTACTATACTGTAGTAGTATAGTATGTTAGAGTCCGTTGATGATTTCAAGTCCCAACTTAAGACTTATTTGTTTAGACAGGCTTTCTCTCTTCACTGTGCATAGGCCTCTGTGAACTGTGTTCATGATGAGGACCGTCTTCTGTGTCTTTGTTTTTAAATCTGACTTGTTTGTGCATTATTCTATCTGTATGTTTTAAATGTGAAGCACTTTGTGATCCTGGTCTGGGCAAGGCGCTATACAAATAAACTTTACTTATTTATACTATATCTAAGTCAAGTAATAAATGATCCCCATCGTTTAACTGTCCACGCACATTTGCCTTGTATAACACTAGCTTTAGAGAGTAGTGTGAAAACTGAAGGCTGCCAGCATAGGAATGTTCAATATCTTCCCACACCTAAGTATTCTCTCTTTCATCTCACTGCTTTCACTGTGTGTGTGTGTGTGTGTGTGTGTGTGTGTGTGTGTGTGTGTGTGTGTGTGTATGTGGGTATGAGAGAGAGCAGCTGTGTGTGTGTATGTCTATGCCTGAGTCTGAGTGCGTGTGTAGCTGTGAGTGTGTGTAGCTGTGAGCATGGTAGCATGGGTGTGTGGGTGTGTGTATGTGTGTGAGCGTGTATGTGTATGTCTGTGTGTTTGTTTGTGTGTGTGTGTCTACGCCTGAATCTGAGTGCGTGTGTGCTTGTGTAGTTCAGAGTGTGTGTAGCTGTGAGCATGTGTGTGTGTGTGTTTCTTTCTTAGAGCATCCTAAATATAAGACCAAGTACTACACTATTGACTGGCCTCAACAATCCTCTTTCACAATCTGGATTTAAGAAAATGAGCTATAGTACAATTTGAATCAATAATGAAAAGGTGAACATTAGAAAGCTCTGTGTTCTCTGTGGGACTCTCCTGGTTTAATAAAGGTCAAAGAATAAAAAGCAAAACATAAGAGATATCCTTTGTATGTTGATTTAATGTAATCAGGGCACAGAGTCTGCTCTCCAGGCTGCTGTTCTGAAGGCATCAACTTTCAATTATGTATTTAATCTACGATGTCAGATGAAATATTAATATTTTTAAACTAACAAAAAACATCTTTGTTGTCTTTTCCAGTTGGCGAAGGCAAAAACCTGATTCCCATGGACCCCAATGGACTGTCAGATCCATATGTCAAACTCAAGCTCATACCAGACCCCAAAAATGAGACCAAGCAGAAGACCAAAACCGTCCGAGCCAACCTCAACCCCAAATGGAACGAGACTTTCATTTTGTAAGCTTCTCTTGTGTCCTCATGTCTTCATAATTCCATGTGACCATGTCATCGCTGCTCTGCTTTGTGTGTTTGTTGAGTTAAAATGTTGTGATGGACTGTGCGCAGTAAACTGAAGGCAACGGATAAGGACCGTAGACTGTCAGTAGAAGTGTGGGACTGGGACCGAACCACCAGGAATGACTTCATGGGGTCCCTGTCTTTCGGAGTCTCAGAGCTCCTGAAGTCTCCGGTCTGTGGCTGGTAAGCTCCAAACACAATGTGGTGTTGTTGGTTTTTATTGGTGAACAAATTTGACTTAACTTCAGTTGTGAATTTGGGATCATCTAAATTTAGTCAGTTGTCAAACTAAAACTGAAACTATTTTTTTTTCAGCATGTTCTCACAAAATTATATGTTCATGAAACATAAACATATTAAAAGAGTTCTACAACCATCAGAGCCGTCTAATCTTTTTGTGCTAACAAAACAAGGGTTGATTTCTATCTGCTGTTTTCTTTTCAGAGTTCAAAGTCTTCAAAACTCTCAGAGTATTGGCCTAGTTTATCATTGCACACATAAATAGTCATATGGGAAGAATCAAGTAATTCCTAACCTAATTTCAACATATATTGAATATCTTTGAACTTTCCACCCTAGAGGCATCAACAAATAAAACCTTTTAAAAAGCAGTATTATCAAAATGTGTATTGTGTGGCAAAACTCCGACACCATGCAACAACACTAAATTGAACCAAAATATTGCAGAATGTCATTGTTTTACTCAACTACTGAGGCCCAAACCACAATATTACAACAATGACTCATTCACACCTAAACACAAAAGTAATAACAGAAATGATTCTCTGGATATTACACCATTATGTGAGAATAGTTGATACAACAGCTAAAATTGTCTTTTAGATTAACTTGTAAAGTGATCTGCGTCAACCATGACTATTTACTTTTTGTGTATTTTAGGTACAAGCTCTTGTGCCAGGAGGAGGGCGAATATTACAATGTCCCAATCTCAGAAGAAGATGACGGAAATGAAGAACTCAGGCAGAAATATGAGGTGAGGAATATTTCTGTGGCAAAAGTGTTGTAAATAAACATCACATTTCTGTTCGTTCCTATATTTTTTACTGTGCTTGGCGGCCTCCATGTTCCTAAGACCCAGGTGAAAAATTTCATCTTTTAGTAAATGACGCTCAAGTCACGAAACGCCTGAGCGCCTACTAACACATGTCAAAGTTTAGATTTTAGACCAATTCTAAAACAGATGTCCTGCCTCCTTGTCCAAGCTGTAGCCATTGGTGTGTTGTTTGTGTCTTGTTTTCCCCTTCCTTTAAAAATAAAAATATATATATAATTGTGCTTTTTTTTTCTTTACCTATTGTTTCACAGTATATTTAACCCAACAGTTTCTTTTCCTCTTGCCCCTGCTCTCAGGACTGCCAAATAAACCTAAATCTAAAGGTAGCCCTCTCCTCCCCTCTTCTCTGCCCACGTCCTGTCTTGTTCTGTCCTGTTGTGGTGCCATTAATTTTTACTCAACATATAACATTTACTAACAATTTGATAAAAGTCAGTTTCTTATGTATCTTATTTACTAACGATACAACAAATATTACTCTATCGCCGTTATTGGATAATTAGTATTTGTTGTGTGTGTAAACATGTGATATGAAATTCTCACCACTACTACTAAAGCAGTTCCGCAAATACGACTGGGTGAGCACCTTTCTGATGGATTGTTAGTAAAAAATCACGCAATACTTTGAATGTATAAATGTCTGCATGTGTGTCTCGTCCTCGTTTTCTGTTGAAACGCTAAAAGTTCCGATTATTTTGTGCCGTTTTAGACAACACAAACGATGTAATGCAGGTTATACAGTTGTGCTTGAAGGTCTACACAACCAGGCTTCAATTATTATAAGTATAATAATATAAGTATAATAATACTTATTATAGTATTAAGTGTTAGATTTATGAATGATAACGCAAACACTTTTTTCACTTGTTGTTAGTGGTTGGTTGACAATGAGTCACTTTAACGACCTGCTCTGGGATTGAAAAATTCGCACTGCTATAGCCGCTTTTAATTTGATTGTACATAATATATCTCGCACAAAATATACTATTTTTCACTTTTTAACATGTTTGTTCATTTCCTGTCTTTTGCACAACCTGAGTGATACTATTTATGCCAAAATGTCTCCCTTGTGAGATCGATAAAGTCTAAAGTTATCTTCTCTTACAGATGGAAAGTAGCGTGGTGCTAAATCTGGTGCAGCCCTCTCTTTATTGTATAACTGCACATTGTCCTTAATAACCTAAACTCAAAAACTCAATTTATTATCAAACAAACTTGTTCACTATTTTTGATTAATGATGACAAGATAAATGCATCTTCTGACCCTGATCAGAAGTCTCCATCCCCTAGTTCCCAACATGTATTTCCCCTTTAACAACTTTAACATCTTTGACAGCTAGGGGTCTATTGTGGCAGTTGTGAAAGAGGTTTTTATCCTCTCTGGTAAAGCTGCCCATTCTTCCTGTAAATTCCCGGGCTGGCTTGCATGAACTCCTTATTTGAGATACCCCCATATATAAGGGTTAGGGTTAGGGTTAGGGTTAGTTGTAGAGCACAATTCATACACAAGGCAACTCAAAGTGCTGAACAAAACAAGATGGCATTAAAGCCATAAATAATCACAGTACATTAAAAAGAAAGATTACAATATAAAATCCCTCAGTTGTGTGCACAGCTAAACAGAACTGTTTTTAACCTGGTTTTAAACATTGTCAGAGAGGAGGCCTGTCTCACATCTTCAGGAAGATTGTTCCAGATTTTAGCAGCATGAATCTGAAAAGCAGCCTCCCCATGTTTAGTTCTGACTCTGGGCACTAACAGGAGTCCAGTCCCTGTGCTCCTCAGAGTCCGGGCTGGTTCATATGGGACTAGCATGTCACTTATGTATAATTTTAGCCATCCTTTTAAATAAACAGCCTCGCACAACCACTAAAGTAAAAAAATCCTTATCATTCATTACCTCCAAAATATGGCCAAACAAATGCAACTCCTGCCTGGGTGTGCATACCTTCAAGCACAACTGTATCTCACATGAAGCCAGACGCGCTCCTACACTTCAATGCATTTTGTTTTGTTCAAAAATGAGTGGATATTTACGCCCAAGTTTATTGGTTGAATCAGGAAGTTTTCCCTATGGTTCCAGGACCAAACAGTTGTGGCGGGGCCTGAACAGGTGTGTCTCAGAGGAAGTAAGCGAGCTGCTCTTATGTGCTGAAGCTGAGAGTGTTGTGAGCTTTGCATCCACATGAGTCATTAACCAAGGCCGGGACGTGTCTGTGAAGCAGCTGCAGACACAGACAAAAATGCATTTCTAACAGCGGCGTGGTAATTACGGACGTTTTATTAAAGTTCCACCTGAAGCAAATGCAAAGTTTAATTGAGCAAGTTATCGTGCATCTTGTTGTATTTTAGCATGTGGATGGTGCAAACACATATTCAATCATTTGTGGTGTTGTTGGCAAAACATGTACTTTTATAAATAAAAAGCATTATGGATATTTGTCAAATTTATACTTTAGATTTGCATCTTTTATATGACATGCTACAGTGATTGTTTCTGTACAGTTTTTTTTATGTGAAGGCCCTGTTTTTAAGTCTGTTGTAATTTCTGTCACTTTTTCTGACGGTAATCTTCATATTTCATTCATATTTATAACCTGTATAGTTATAAATATGAATATGTATAGGGAATTTTATAGCCAGTGGCGCTGTTATTAAAATATCTTCCTCAGATCCCATCAGAGAAAATGCACATGCAACCAAGTCCTTCACACAAATTAAGAACTAAGCTTTATGTTTTATTTTTTAAATATAATATACAAATATGAGTGCATGAAGCCTTCTCACCTTCAGGGTCCTTACATGTTTCATTTTGTGTTTTATGAGAGCAGAAAGCCAAGCTGGGCCCAGGAAATAAGAACATTACAGAGACTGACAATGCCACCCAGCTTCCCTCCGCCATCATGAACGAGGTCCAGCTCAGTGACTTTTCCTTCCTCGCCGTGCTGGGGAAAGGAAGCTTTGGCAAGGTGTGTGCTCTGCCTCTAACGACTGTTTCGCTGTCAGATCCTTTATTTGTCCATCAGTGGGGAAATGTCAGTTTTGCATCACCAGATAAAAAACAGTAAGAATGAGTTTAAGTTTAATCTATTAAGGACAATGTGCAGTTGCATTAAAAAGATGTCTGCACCAGATTTAGCAGCATGCTCTGTAGTCCGTGACAATACAATTATATAACTTACCCTTTTTATTTATTAATTTATTTTTCTTATTTACTTGTTCTTTTGTAGAGCATATTTGAGTGTCCCAAAGAGCACTATTTAAGTATGATTTATTATTATTATTATTATTATTATCTGACGTTTTAATGTTTGCTCCTCAATATGTAAAGTGATTTATGTGATTACTGCATATGGGAAAGATATGCACATGACTATGTGTTGCCAGCAGAGGGCAGCAAACGGTTCAAAAAGGATGTGAATGAGAACCGATAATGTCTTCCCTACTTTACTTTCTTTGCTTGTTATGTGTCATGTGTTAGTTGGGGAACATATTTGGTCATTAAAGAATTATTGAACAGGTTTTACACTACGGATATGCTTTTTGTTACGTTAGGTTTAGATAAAATACACTTTATGGGTCTCACAATGGAGAAATGTAGAGGTTGAGCTTACTTTATCAAGCAATAGACCTTTCATTATTCTTATCCTTACTGTTCCCTTGCCCGCTATGCTCTGACCATGTTCACTTATCCCTCCCACCCTTGTCACGTACTTCCTTCCGTATTTTTGGTCCTAATGGAAAAAAGTGCTTGCACTCATCACTCACGACAAAGCCATGAAGTGGGACTGAATAAGGAAGTGTGCAGACTCCTTTCTTTCATAACATTGTTTTAGCTCAATATTGAGATTGTATTTGTACTTTATAATAATAATGAGCTACAGATGTTATACATGTTTTTATAGAGCAGACAGAGGAGCATTAAGATATAATTCCAAACAGCTCTAAAAATACTGTTTTTGTTGCAGGTGATGTTGGCCGAGATGAAGGAGGGGGAGGAGCTGTATGCCATAAAGATCCTGAAGAAGGATGTGGTGATCCAGGATGATGACGTGGAGTGCACGATGGTGGAAAAGAGGGTGCTGGCTCTCCAGGACAAGCCCCCCTTCCTCACCTACCTGCACTCCTGCTTCCAAACAGTGGTGAGTGCTTCTAGAGGTTCTTAAAACTTGCATTTGCAAAAAGTGCATTTGACAGTTTTTTTTTTATATAAATAGCGACAACAGGGAGTTTATGGCTGAGTGGTTAGCACTTTCACTTATTCCACCTCATGTCAGGGCATTTCAGAGTGGAGTTTGCATATTCTCTCCGTGTCTCCACAGGTTTCCTCCGGGTGCTCCGGTTTGTCCTACCACTAAAAACATGGCTAATCGCCGATCTCTGGAGCGAGGAATCTGAAAATTAGATTCTGAAATCTCAGTTGGACTTTCCTGGTTAAATAAAGTTCACTAAATATAACAAAACATTTTCAGCCATACTGTTTTTTTTTTATAGAGTTTCTTGCCATAAAACCAGGTGGCTACTTGAAACTCTGAAATGTACACCAGATGTTAGAGTGTTTGAGTTGATTACATAAAACATTTGGAGGAGTACAGAAACACTATATTGTGCAGTGTCTTTGTAATGACTACAGGCGACCAACAGTTTATAATTGAAATGAATAATTACATCTGTCCTCTTTCAGGATCGTCTGTACTTTGTAATGGAATATGTAAATGGTGGAGATTTGATGTACCACATCCAACAAGTGGGGAAATTCAAAGAACCTCAAGCGGTGTAAGTGTTGCATTTCCTTGTCTTCAAATGAACGTTCACAAAAGCCGTTTGAAGTGTTTTTGTGGTATTTTCACATGTACAGGTGCTTGATGTTTTACTTGCTATTGCAGGTTCTATGCAGCAGAGATCGCTGTTGGTCTCTTTTTCCTTCACAGTAAAGGGATCATCTACAGGTGAGGATTTTCTTTTTATTATGATAATTGTGAATCAAACCTTATTCATGATATACATAATATTCCAATACTGCTGAAGTGTTATCTTGGTGACCATTGGAAACGGCCTCACATTCAACAATATTTTAAAGTCTGTGTTTGTATTTTCAGAGATCTGAAGTTGGATAATGTTATGCTCGACTCAGAGGGACACATCAAGATTGCGGACTTCGGCATGTGCAAGGAGAACATGCTGGAAGGAGTGACCACGCGCACATTCTGTGGCACCCCTGATTACATCGCTCCAGAGGTATGCCGTCTTTCTAAATGTTTGGAGCTTTTGTATTTGTTGTCATTGAGCTTATTCTGGTCACTGTCTGAGCTCTTGTCACCCTTGTCCTTCCACATTCAGGTCAGTGCCCCAGGACCAATCAAAAACACCAGAGTGACGCAAGTCATCAGACAGAATAATGTCTAAACTTATCCTGCTTTTTTCCCTCAAGCGCATTCAGATTCAGAGTTTTCCTTTTAGACAAAGTGAGTAAGGGTTAAACTAAAGGCATGAAAAATACATAATAGTAATGTGGATGGATTAAGGCAGATGAGTCTATGTTTTATGTATGGCTGCGAACACTGTTTATTGCTGTCTTCCAATCTGAGTGAGCACTTTTTATGCTGCACTTCTCATTTGCAATGTGAGTTCGTGAGTTACATAGACACATGTTTTTTTCCATCTGCAAATTTAAAAGGTGATTTTCCTCCCCATCATTGTTGAATATCAGTTTTTAGCCACTTAAGATCTGACCCCAGTCCAGCAGCTGCCAATGTGTCAGAAGGGGCTTTTTTAAGATGACCAGTGTTTGAATGCAACGCTGCACTTTATGGTCCATTAGTCACATTTGTGCTCTGCATAACCTGCAGTGGGTACGTCTGGAAACCCATCTCCCGATCTTAGACTGTTTTAGATGAAGGATAATTTTTTTTAAATGTTGTGCATATTTAGTGCTTGTATGAACCAACAAACACAGCTAACATAATACAATTGCTCTAATTTATTGTGGGATTATTAATACTTGTTTTATTTATATAATAGAGGCTTATTTTTATACAAATTATAGTTATAACTGAAAGGTATTACATGAGGGAATAGGAGCTTTTGCCACAGCTCTTCAATGCTCTGATGTGAACAGCTCCTATTTTAAATCACCAATTACTGAGAGTTAAATTCAGTATTCACAAATCATTAGCAAAGTTGCATGGCTTGAATTGCTAGCAGTCTTATCCAGAACTGTCATGTAATATTAAGCATAGTCAAATTGAAATGTCTGCCACAACACACTCACAAATTCATATGGCGAGTTAGAAACCACAAGCATTTGTTTATCCACGAGCCAAGATACACTTATGTGCATGTTTTTCATTGAAGTACCTTCCTTTAATGTGAAAATGGGAATAATTCAGACTTTTAGTTCTTTTGCAGTGATATTAATAGGGCTGCTCTGGCCGAGGCTTAGCTTAGCTTCAACTAAGGTCCAAAATAAAATCAGACAAGAGCAGAGAATGTCAGGCTCCGGTCAGAACGCCTGCTCCGTTTACATATGGTTGACACACTTGACACTTTTATCATCTCAGCATAAACGATAAAACATTACTCTGCATCATAAGGGAGTGAAGGTCAGTGCGCCATAAAGCCATCATGTCTGCAGAATAAATGCACACAGACAAAGGGGGCAAGGGCAGCTTCATCTTTGTCAAGGCAAAGAAAAACTGATTAAACTTTGTATAGACTTCTATTATATTCTCACATTCTTTATCACTATTTTATTTTTTCTGTTTATGTACGATGGTGAGCGTGGTTCAACGTTTGGAATTATTCACAGTGGCTGGATCAAAACGTTGTGATAATTCAGTTCATCCTTAGGGCTCGTATTTCTAGATCTGTAATGGCTAGTTTTAGCATTCATACAGACCATAGCCGATCGAGACTATGACAGAATGGATTGTGTCAGAGTGTCGTAAACTACACACTGCTGTTAGAGAAATACGAAGATTATGCACTCCCTTCTGATTTTGTCAATTTTTTTTATTTTATGTTTATTTGTTACACCTATTGTAAAAAACTTGGTGGATGTAATTTATTGACGGCTCTTTGTCTTCCCTCTCGTCTGTGAAGTCCATGTTTCTTTCAGCTCTGTGTTTTATTCAGTAGAGACAGTGTCCTGATGTACTCTCCTCTTGTGCCGTTTGTCCTCCCTGTCTTCCTCTATCTCTCTTCCTCTCTAGTGGCTTTTTCCTGATTCTTCTCGACGCGGGGCCACAGATCTTTTTGCTACATTGACCTGATGTGTCCACACACTTTTAATGCTTTAGCTTCCTTCTGCATGAGGGCAGATCCCCAGCGGCTTAACGGACAGGACCCGTGTAATGGTGCATGTGCAAGTTTTAATCTCAAAGGTGACTTATAATGCAAAATATATTTTAAAAAACCCAATGTATTCTTGTATAGCCCTAAATTACAACAGGAGTCCTCTCAAGGACTTAACAAAACCATTGAAATCACCAACACAATTTTTTTTAGAATTGTATGTATTGATCCATAGGGAGAGACCAATGTCCATGAATGTTGATCGATAAATCGATCATAAATGTTGTAGAAAGTTAAAGTGTTAAAATCAATATGTAACTACATTTACCCATGTTTCAATGGTTCTGACTCATTTATCCAGTCAAAGTTGTCCTTGAACTTATTGTGTCTTTCAGTCACGTTCTGTAAAGGGTTATTCTCAAATCAGTGCTGCACTTTTTAATATGAGAGGCTGAGTCCTTAAACTGATAACTTTCTATTGTCCACATGCACAAACATAATAGATTTATAGTGTGGCAGACCTTTGATTTAGGACCAGATTACAGAAACTGCTTAAATAACTTGCATCTATAGTTATAATGGATATTTTTGCTACGCATATACTGTCAGCCTGCAGCGTTAGAAAGGATTCGATTGGCTTTGAAAGCACTGTATATTTGAGAAATCTATCCCACATTAGCACTAGCATATTATGTAATGGTTATTTTAGTTGTACATTATGCACAACAACAAGAACAAACCATAAAAAAACAGAGGTCATAAGAACAATTTTGAGCACGTATTGATTCCTACCTCCTTTTCCAGCGTCTAAACATTATTAGTTACTTCCTTTGGTTTTTACACTTTCGTGCAAAACACAAGTACTTATTTTTTCCTACATATTGACAATATGTTAGCATCAGAAACTGGGCACTAACAGAGTCAGTCCCTAGTGCTCCTCAGAGTCCTCCGCTGTTTCAATGGTACTAAACATGTCACTAATATATTTTGGTGCGACGGACCATGGAGATGACATCATGAATACTTCATGTGGAGAAACTGCATTCACAAATATGTAACAAATACATCTCCCAGATCTTAAATGGTATTCATAAAGATCTGCAAAAACAAATATTGAAAATATCTTTTAAAACATCACGACGGCTTAATTTAATTTTCCCCTCTTTGCGTCACAAACTACTGCTGCACCTGAAAATAATTGCAGCCTATAACTTTACCTATTACCTGTTGGTATAATTGCTTGTAGTCAGCTTATTTTAAATTGTTTTTTATTTGGCGTAGCATTTTAAACGTTGACTTAAAGCCCACTTTGTTTGTCGGCATGTGGAAAGTGGGAGGTAAGTCGCATGCGCTCAGATCGACTTAACGCCTGCTGCCTACACTTTGTTTGTTATGCTTGTTCAAGCTGTACTATGATTTACATAATGGATTTAGAAATTAACTTTTATGTCTGCATATGAGATTTTTGAATCCAGCCCTGTCATTTATGGACAAAAAACAAAGTTGCAATTTGATTGCGAGGTGGTGGAAAAAAAATCAATTATCTAAATAATTGCAATGTTAGGTGAAAACAAATAATTTGAACCTTGACATCTTTTAAAATCAAGTAGACTTGTAGTAAGATACCTGTAATTAACATTTGTAGAAGAACAATTTTTTACTTCTCAGTGTTGATAACCAAGGAAAATTACTGATGTAATGATTTGCAATAAAAGTAACCATATTGGTGGTAAAGGTTTTTACAACTACTCCAGAGACTTTGTTGGAAATGTGTCATGGGCTCAATATAAAAAAATTATAAAAAAACAATTCAAAAGGAAGAGGCTTTCACTGTGTAGACTGTCAGAGAGAGAATAATCCCACAACAATACCAGCCGTCTTAACTACTTGCAAATAAAAACAATATTTATTTAAATGCGACCGATTTAAGCGTTATGCCATCATCAATGCAAATATATCTAATGATATTTTGCCTTGATGAAGGCTTGTAACACCGAAACGTCGCAATTTAAATAATATTTTTTTTATTCGCAAGTAAGACGGTATGTGAGATTTTTATTCCCTCTCTGACATTAGGCTATAGCAAAGCTCTCCTCCTACGCACCCGATCTGTAGGTATTAGATGTAGCGAATATCCCTACTCAGTCCATTTAATCTTAATAGTACAGTAACAGCTGAGTTGTATAATAGATTGACCCCCGTTTAACAAAATAATATCTGCACTTGAAGTGCACAAAAACAGGAAGCAAGGATTCCTCTGATTAAACAAAACCATGATGCTGACCGAGTGTTGGACTAAAATCAAGACCATATTAGGCCGACTATAACCATTTACTAAACCAAGGCTTACTGACAAATGCAATAATATACTGCTAATATATATATAGTCCTAATCAGGAGCGGGACTAAAAGTACAAACTTTAAACATAAAAACTTTAATCAAAAGACTTGAATGTCAAATAAAAGAAGCCCCATAATAAACATATCCATGACTGAGGTTATATTGCAGTCTACCCGAGTGTACCTTAAAGTTTTTCTGTGAAACGTATGGGAGCGATTGTGCAAATGAGAGGAAGTAGTTGGAAGGTCAGAGGGAACGTGCAGACAATTGGAGGGGAGCCGGGAGTGAAGGATAGATGAAGTGAGAGAGGAAAGAAAATAAAAAAAGAAACGGGGACAGATAAATGAGAGAGCTGGACTGCACTCATTAACTGTACCTGAATAAACTGTATAGAAGGCACACTTAGAAGACTACACATTAAACGTGGCAACCAACTTTCATATCATACACCTGCAACGGGATGTGAAAAAAAAAATAACTGGTGATTAGTGAAAACAACATGTATTGTAGGGGTTGAGACAGAAAATCTTAATGATGTTAATGTTGTTTTATGTATAGTTCATGAACATTTTTTAATTTCAACTGATTATTATACGGATCTTTTCTTGCAACAACAACAACAAGGGCCTCACAGGAGCTTTGTTGATTTGACCAACAGATGATTACTAAATCAACAAATTGGGAACACATTATAAATAACATACAACAATACAGCTACACATGCCATTGATTCAAATATCATAATGAGGTGCCCAATGCCCCAGCACTTTCA